TCTTAGAATAATTTAATTCACAACAGTTATCAATTATTTCATGTTTCTAGACATATCCCATCCTCCATAGATATGCCTTTTATGCTCGGACTGGGAGTTGCAATTTGCGTGGACAATTTCTGGCAATACGACATAACAGGTACTGTCCCTCAAAATGCTGGCAAGCCTTTGAAGTTACTCTATACAAATAGAATTCCAAAAAATATCCTTTTCTGGGGAAAAGGAGAGAGGATCTCATTTTTGTATAGAAACACAACTCATCATCTTGGTCACCACAAAGTCTAAGTTTACTCATTTCAGAAAGATCAAAGTTTTATGGTCTACTCAGACCATATAACTTGGTCTATAGCATTGTAAATTGACATCAAAAAGCAACACCTTAAAAGCAAGTAGATAGAAGAGCATTTTGTTACACCTACTTTTAAAGTGTGTTTGAATGACACTTTTACTATGGCTACAGGGACCTATCATGTTGCAAATCTCTTTGGTTTAGTCACTGCTATTTCCTTAACCTCATGCAAGAAGTTTGAAACCTTTGTATCCCAATAAAACACTTGTTCTGACCAAAGAAAAGAGTTAGAGCAGATGATCAGGAGGTAAGAAGAAAAAGCACAACTACCTGGTTTGTTGCATGAATTCCTGAATCTAAAGAGGAAGAGCAGAGGACAACTCCTATTAAACCAGGATTACTCATCATAGTCGAATACCATACTTTGGTCAGAAAACTAACAAATGATAACATATCATGGTCACAGAGTCACTGCCATGCATGCAAGATTTCGGAGCGCTGGAAAACTGACTGTCTCAACACGCAGAGTTGGAGGCGGCTGAACACATGTTTAAACACAGTTGATGCTATCAATGTTCACTAAATCTGTGACAAGTGTGGGCAGTTCTTTTCAGAGTATCGCGCAAGACCAGTCATGTACATATCGTACATTATGCATCGTAGTCAGTGATGTTCTCCCTTGCTCAGCTGCCAGGCAAAATATCCTCCTCTGCTAATGTCACAGATTCAACATCGGGACCCTGCTAGCAGCAGAAGGCTTTTAACATGGCCATAGATTTCCAAGAAACCTTTCTTTTTGTTTGCTAGCAAATCCTGGAGTGGCAGACTACAGAAACCATAGATATTTTTTTGAATTATTACTTTATTTCAAAGAAGAAATTTGCACTGTGCAGTGCAATAGCTTGCTGTACCACCCAGAAAGATTACATCCACCTCAGCACACCCCATGGCATGTTTGGGCTTGAGGCACTCCCAGCCCAGGTAGGTACCAGTACTTTTTTCATCCTTGCAGAACATCTGCAACACTTTTTGAGCCCACAGTCTCAGTGAAGCCTTGGTGGAAAAAGGCTCTCCCTATCTAATTACTTCCATTAAGAGGACCGGTACTGCCACCTCCTGTGAGCACCCCATGGCTTAGATGCCGCCTTATCAAACCTGAGCTCACAGGCTCTGCAGCAAATGGACACAAATTCTTCTTTCCAAAAAACAAAACCAATTAAAAAAAACAGCCCCAAAATTCTATGTGCCTTTTAGTTCAACTTGATTTAGATGTAGACTGAGGTGCAAAAATAGCTACTGCCTGTGCTTCCTCATCACTCTTGACCATTCTTGAAAGGCAGTCAGAGACTCCAAAGATGTTCAAGGTCACTTTCTGGCAGCAAGCACCCTCACTGCAAAACACAGGATTTTTCTCCTTAAGGTGGCTTTTCACTTCTGGTCTGTTCTCTTTTATTCTCTCTTTCACACAAGCACTAGCATGTAAGTTCAAGCATGCCACTGACAGATGTACTAAAAGGTGAAAAGAACTCTGTAAGCACCTCCAGCTCCACCTGTCAGGCTTATCACATCAGCTGTGAATCCCCCACCCCAGGCACAGCCACCTCCAACCCCAGCAATTCCATTCCCCTGGGCTGTAGCCATATATTTGCCAGAGGGTAAAATAGTTGAAATGGGTAATCATACAAAATTAATGATGCTCTGTCATCAGCTTTGTGCCAGGTGCAAGAATTGTGCTTGGAATGTCTAGTAGGCTTTGCTGCAATTTGGAAGCAAAAGACAACAAAGAAGTCAGCCAAGTCCCACTTTCAATGAAATGCACCCCAAATCAAACAGCATTCTGAAACTGCATGGAGAAAATTGCTAAATGCTCACATGTGTGATAATATAGTAAACCAAAGAAGTATTTGGTGTCTTTTGATTTTAGCTCATTTTTACTATGTAGTTATATTTTTTGTTACATACTAGCAGTTTCCATTAGGCAGTAAAAGTTAGTCAATAAGTATAAATTTTTGAAGGACAGTTCAGAAGGGAATTTTCCAGACTCTGTAAGAACATTGCACTTCAGAGGGTAGTTCTGAAAATGAATATGGCTGTTGATTCATTTTAGGCTGGCAAAATATAGTCTAAAGAATATTTGGAAGCTGTAGGTCTGAACAAAACAGAGAAAGGCTCAGGGCTATTTCAGAGGAAAGAAAAGAGGATCTATTTCGACTAGATAAAAGTGTGTTAAAAGGCATTCAAGAAGAGAACTGCCAGTTCAAGATGGGCAAGAGAAAAAAAAATTATGTGCCTCAAATATAAAGGTAAATTCCTCAATCTTTTTGGTATATCTGAAACCAGATATGGGAATGATTTAAGACTGAACAGGATAAAGACCCAGAAGGAATGAATAAGGTCAATAAGAAGCGAATGGTACAAAAATCTGTTGAAAAAATCTTACAAGAAACCATAAGAACTAGAAGATGCTTGCCACAAGCATCAAGGTTTCACAGCATATCAAGGCAAACAGAACCAACAGTGATAAAAAAACAGAGAGATATTGAGAGGGAGAGTGGAGGAATGTGAAATACTAGAAGTGCAAAGTAAAATCGTTTCCATTTCTTAGAAGTGCTAAGAATTTGTGGAGCTGTATTAAGGTATGTTAAAAAGATTTTTTTTCAAATTCTATAAAAAATTAAGTACCTTGATTTTAAGAATGTGCATGACAAGGTAAGAATCAAATAGCCTGCCTTTACAGCTATAAAATGAAAGCTGGTAGCAGAACACATCAAATCAATGATCATTCACCTGATAGCCTGATAATGTTCTGTTTTAAAGAAACAAAGTTTAGTTTCCTCTTATTCTCTACAGCAACACTGCCTGACCACATCCACTATATAACACACCCTTTTATTCAGTAATCTGGGGGAGAGGTTTATTTTCAGTTCAAGATATATAATCTAATTGAGTCTAAATTGCAAATACCTTCTTATCTGCTTTCAGGCATGATGCCTTGCATGTAGGGCTGGATGGGCAGTCAAGCCTCTAATTTGGAATCCAATTCCACATCTTTTGTCAGTCTGAAATTTCTCTGGGATTGCATATGATTCTGATGTGAGCCCCAAGAGGTTTATTCACATGAGGAAGTGTTGCAAGAGCAGCCCTTGGTTTAACGCCCTTGGGCAGCTAGCTTTTCCTTGGGCTTCACTCTCGTTGCTGGGATGATATAGCTCTTGTCCTAGCAAGGTGCAATGGGATGGGTGTTAATTACTGTTTGCACAGTGCTTCACATTCAAAGAACTCTGGGGTCCTCAGCACAGGAAAGACGCTGTTGGAGTGGGTCCAGAGGAGGGCCATCAGGTGGCTGGAGCACGTTTCTATGAGAAAAGGCTGCAAGAGTTGCTGTTGTTCAGCCTGGAGAAGAGAAGGGTCCAAGGAGACCTTTTAGGTCTTTCAGTACCTAAAGGGGGCCTATAAGAAAGATAGTGACAAACTTTTTAGCATGTCCTACTGCAATAGAACAAGGGGTGATGGTTCTAAACTGAGAGTCAATTTAGATCAGATATAAGGAAAAATATTTTTTCCCTTATTCTTACATTACAAAGAGGGTGGTGAAACACTGGAACAGGTTACCCAGAGAGGTGGTGGATGCTCTACCCCTGAAAACATTCAAGGTCAGGTTGGACAGGGTTCCAAGCAACCTGATCGAATTGAAGATGTCCCTGATGATTGCTCACTGTTCATTGAACTAGATGACCTTTAAAGGTCCTTCCAACACAAACTATTCTATGAACTGCCCTATTGAAAAAAAGATGTGGCAAAAGCAGCAAAATGGGAATGCAATTTGTCTATGCAAAGCCAGTGATTTGAAAACCACAGTTCTTAATGTGTGTCATCTGCCTTTTTGGCCTGACATTTAGAAGACCCCTTTTCAACATTTAGTGGAAATTCCAGAGCAAACACCTCAAGAAGCTTCTGGAAGAGTTACCACGAGAGCTTCCCAGCAGCCATTCTCCCCCACTGTGGGCAGCCAGGCAAACTGGCCCCAAAACCTACACCATCCAGCATCCTTTCACTCTTTGCCTTGTGACATCCCATGCGAGTCATGTGTTGTGTGGAATGAAACTGAGGACAGCTGCAATGCCATCTTGCTTCAGGTTTGTTCTTAAAGAGTTTTTTCCAAGTCAAAAAGCTCACAGTGCTTTCTAGAGATTAGTATGGAAATAACAAGCTACAGCAAATCACCTGTGCATCAAATCCCCCCTTGTATTTGCAAAAGGTGTCTTGCCCCAGCTGGAAATGCTCTGACCTCTCGAACGCATGGCAGCATTTTCAACATACACATTTTGCATGACGAAACAGGAAATCGGGTTACAAGATAATGCCAGATCTCCCGTAGCCATTTCACACTACAAAAATCCGACCTGCCTACCAGGAGGGGTTCTCTTGTGGGCTACCGTGGCGTGGAGAAAAATTATTGTCTGTTATTGTAAAAAGAGTAAAAAAAAATTTTTTTTTTTTTTTAAAAAGGTGCTGAACATCCATGGGGCCGGAGAGCTGCGGGTGTCGGAGAGCGCCGTGGGTCCCCTGCCCGGAGCACGTGCGACCCTCTGCCCCGCGGGGATGGCACGACCGGGGCTCCGCGTCCCACAGCACCTGGTGACGCAGCCCCGGCCCCGGCCCCTGGCCCGGCGCGGGGGCGCGCCCGGCGCGCTCCCGCCAGCCCGCCCACCTCCACATGCACACACCCGCGGCGGGAGGAGGAGCGGCATCTTCCTCGCCGTCTTCGTTTCGCCAATTTAATTCCCCTTGCATCCTCGCCTCTTTTTCTTCCTCCTTTTTTTTTTTTTTTTAATTTTAAATTTCTTGTTATCCCTTTAATTATTTGTCGCGGTGCTCCAGCCGGCTCCCGGCGGATAGGGTGGATCGCTTTTCGTGGGATCCCCGCAGCTCCTGGGGAAGGTAGGCAGCAGCTGATGCAATCGCGGGGATGGGGCCGCGGCTCCCCGCGCACCCTTTGTCTCCGCGCCGCGCGGGCCGGAGCCCGGAGCCCTGATCTCGCCGCGCTTTGTCCCCGCCGTCTGCGCATCCCTCTCCGCGCCCCCCAAACGTGCCTCCTCGCCCCCGAGTGCTGCGCATTCCAAACCCTAAAAATGCGCGCAGCGAGCCGGGGAGGGGCTGGGGGAGCCCGGCGGGGCGGGAGGGGACGGGGGGCCGGGGCTGGGGCCGGCCATGCGGCATATCCCCGCGGCTGGGGCGCGTTGCCGGGCCGGAGGCGGGGGGGCGGTGCTGCCCTAGCCGGCTGCTGAGGCGGGCATGGAAAAAAAAAAAACCAAAGCAGAAATAAAACAAAAACCTGGTAGTCGGCAACTACGAGCTTCCGCTTGCAGCGGAAAAAAAAAAAAAAAAAAAGTAATAGTAATAATAAATGAGTTTCCCCAGGTGACGGCCGGGCCGCGGGTGCCGCAGCCCCCGCACGGTGCGCGGCCGCGGTGTAGCCCTGCCCGGCTGTGGAACGTTCTTGCCTTTCCCTTAAACCCAGCGCTGCTATGGGGTCAGTGCAAGTTTTACGGTATTCGGAAAATGCAGGCGCGTACGCGTGTGCGTGGTGGCCCGTAAATACATAGTAACAGCTGAAGTAGTCCGTTTTAATGAGCAAAGGCGACAACAAAAAGGGGCCGGTGTGAATGCCCGGGTGTGCATTGGCTCAGAGGTGTGTACGTCCAGGTCGCTCTTGTGACAGGGAGCTTGTTCCATTGTTTTGCAGAGTTCGTAATGCAACCTGTAGCTAGGATGTGTCTGTCTCCTTGTGAAAGAGGAGACGAGGAGGTGTGTAAACCCGTGCTTTGTTTATATGACATTGAAAGTACTGAAATAAACCCCGGATCTGGCAACTGGTTTTATGGAAGTTGAAGCTATAATATGCTTGTGCCACTAGCCGAACTCACTGCATGTTCTTAGGCTATTCAGCGTCCCAGACTGCTGTGAGACATTTCTACCAACCTCTAGTTCAAATTATAGATAGGAACCTGTGCTTTTGTGGTGCTTCATTCACCTTCGGGTTTGTTTGGCTTTTACACGTGCTTGAAAGGCAAAAGAACATAGAAGAGCCATTGTTCTAAAAGTAAAGTGTTAGAAAAAGATACTTTTTAGTTGATAAAATACATTCTGGGAATAAAAATAAAAACCAAGAAAGTGACTTTCTGAGTCCAACATTCTTAGATCAGAAGTAAAAACAGCTACAGGGAGAGAAAGAAACAGCATCCTTCTATCTAACATTTACTTCATTTGCTACCAAAATACCAACTTTGTTTTAAAAGTTTCTAAAAGGAAATTCCATCTGTTGCTGAAGGATATAGATATCAATAACTGCCCTTTTCAGGTTAGGAGCCTGTGCCGAAATGGCATTGAAATCTGCTTGCAAAACCTGCCTGAAATCTAGGAACTGCCATATTGCTGGTAAGCAGAGGCCTTCTGCTGAGGCTTGATGGAAATTCACTGACTAAAATGGGATCTGCTTCACAGTCGTGCTGAATGACTCCTATTTGACTTTGCCTTTTTGGAAGTTTTTTTTTTTTTTCTTTTTAAGAGGCACCACAGAGAGAGCACTTCTCTGAAGCACATTGCAGCATCCTCTGGCTTGTCACTTGAGGCTGTTTATGCTGTAGTTGGACCAACTGGGCTTTCTAGCCCAGGTGAGGACAGGAGACAGTTGTTGGCGGTGAGCGCCACACTCCACGTACACCTGTGCAGAGGATTATCCTCTGAGTTGTTTGAAGCTTTTTGAAGACTGCTGTAAAACACAGAGGATCAACTGTCCTTCATGACCAAATCCCGCTTTTTACAAAGGTTTTAGAGGATGGAAGGCGAGGCAGGGCTCTCTCAGCCTTCCTGCTTGCAGGCTGCTTGTCCTGGGTCTCTGTCCTACATATTGTCTGTGTTTTCCTGGTTTGGGAGTTTGTTTTTTTTTTTTAGCCGGGGAAGAGTGGTGACTGAGCAGAAATGGGACTTTCCTTCCCTCTGTGCTCTCCTCTGTCTTTTTATCAGCCTGCTCATTTCTGTACAAATCCATGTAGCATGACAATAACCACAGCTTTAAAAGTTTGTATTGTGAGGACAAATGAAATGTTGTGGGAATATTTAAATATTTTAAGCCTGAATTCAGTTTCCTTTCTGGTAGGTATTTACTGCTGTGACCTTAATCCAATCCAAGAAGTTTGAGCGGCTGCTCTTGGGAAAAATGGCAGCTTTTTCATGTTTTGCAGTCAACTCTCATAATATTTGTCTAAGCTTATCAGATAAATATCACTCTGAGTCTCTTAGAGTCAAAACTGAGGTAGAGAAATTACTTGTAAACTGGGGCAGAAGGCAAGTGAGTTACATATGAAATTATACAAAGGGTTCTTCCTTCTGTAGTACAAAATTTATTGAAATAGGAATTTCAGAGCTGCTGTTTAACCCTTACAAATACATATGGGTAGTCTGTTTTGTTGCAGTGCCCCATAAAGCCCCACTCATACAGCATTTCCACTTTCTATGGAAGACAAGAGTTTATTTGTGGCAGTGCGTTCTGGGATCTCTTTTCAAAACCGAGACTGTTGAGAGGATTTCACAGAGAAATATAATTAGGAAAAAATGTGACTATATTCCTCTGCCAAATGCCTTTCCTAAATTGACTGGGAAGGGCTCAAAACAAAAATGTACTTAAACCCATTTTCCTTTATGGTTCATCTTTAAGTGTTTTGCTTAAAGTAATGAATCACTGGGTGAATCAGACTGAGATTTTATGGTTTCTTATTTGCCTGCTTTTGATCAGCTGAGTAGCCTGTCGAGACTTAATTTGGGACTGTGTTCTCTTTCTTTATGGCAGCATGGAAGGGAACTGTGGAGAGTGATGGGGCAAAGCAGGAACATTTTCCTGTTGCAGCACAAGGTCATGCACTACCAAGAGAAAGGTCGACAATCCACATTTGTGCTCATCGCTTCTGAGTGATATATAGCATCCTTTTCTGAGCTTCCTTCCGCTTCCTTCCTAAGTCTTCTGTCACTCGTTTCCCCCCCCCCATCTTATCTTTTAACTGTTTCCATCCTGCGTGCTGTGGAAGCTGTGTGAGAGAGAAGAAGCCTGAAAATGAAAGGTGGTGGTTTACAGCCACCAAAGAAGCAGCTGCAGCAGCTCGAAGTCCTTCCGGCCGCTGCATGGCTTTCATCCTGGCACTGTGTCCGATGGGCAGGACGGCTGTGTGCTGGTACCTTGTCGGTTCTCTGTGGCTCCCTGAGCCCAACTGGGGCTGGGCTGCTGTGGGACTGGAGTGAACCCGCTTCCTTCCACTGCTCCTGTGGCTGCAGCCTGCTGCAGAGGGGCAGAGCTGAGGAGCTGGAGGCAATGACATTTCAAGCACTGCAGCTGTTTGCTCAGTGGATGTGAGTCAGTCTTTAATTTCCAAGCTCTTTTTATCTCAGTGGCTCTTCTCTAATCTCTCCATTTTGTCCTTCCTGTAGATGAGGAGTGAATCTGGAACTTTATGTTCCTCATGTCAGGTGTCACTAATGTGGAACGAAAAGGAGATAGTTGCTTCCCCGCCTCCCAACGTGATACTGTTTCGTATAAAGCTTATTTTTGCTTTTTGTCGTTTAAGTGAATAGTCCGTGCACAGAGTTTCAGGCTCAGTGTTTCATTGTTTATATCCATGATATCTTACTGTCATATTGGTCTACTTTGAAAGAAGTTTCAAAAGTATGAGCAAAGACGTATCACATCTTGGGCTTTGCAGGACTAAAACCAGCTGGTGTGAAAATCAAGTGCTGGATTCTGATGACTTGTAACCAACCAAGAGAAGTTCTTGGCAAAACTCCCTTTGTGAAGGAAATTGAGTCGTGTTTCATCTTTTGAGTGAATTAGCTTGAATTTCGTAGTTAAAAGTGCTTAGTGTGTCTTGGATATTTACAAATCCCAAGACTGACTGTGGAAAGCACACAGTGAATGAAGCTCCTCCCTGGGTGTGCAAGGGCACATTACAAAAACCGTATCCAGAGATGGGCTAGATGGTGTCTAACTCGACCAATTACCCAAATGCCTCTTGCATACTGGCTCAGCTTTTGGGCAGTCATGTGCTTTAAGGTGACACTTTTTGAATGATGTCATTTACGGGACATGAAAGAAAAAAAAGTCATTAAGTGAATTAAGTGAATTAAGCCATCACCATTACCACCTAGAGTGTTGATGTTACTGTTAAAAACACAACTTCCAGCAAAGTGTTTTCTGAGAATACACCTCTTCCAGGTATGGCCCAGAAACGATTCATGCTTGAACCAGCAGAAGAAATAAGGATATACCGTCTGTATAACATTTTTTTTTTCAAATATAAGGATTTTGATCCCATTACTGCTCTTGTGGAATTTAACAGTCCAGAAAAATGAATTTGCAGGGATATTTTTTTTTTTATGTTTCAGAAGGCAACAGAGAAAATTACTACAGTTCTTGAAATGTGCTTTAAAAGCTTGTGAAGGTCTCAGTGTCCTTGAAACAAAAAACACTTTCATTTTATCTTCTTGTGTCATCACATAGTCCTCCTGAATTCTGTGACCAGTTGTAATCTTTCCCATATTCTGCAAGGAGCACACAACAAATAAATTATCCATAAAGGGTTTTACAAGACATGTCATGGAACATTTAAAGAGAAAGCCAAGCTCCTAGGTCAGAGCACTGCTTTTTCTACTAAAGGAGGGGCTGGGTCAGCTACCAAACAAAGGCCCTTGAGGTTCCTTTTGAAGGGTCATTAACTCTTTCCTGGTTTTCTCTTAGGGTGATTCCTGCTTCAAGGAGCAGTGACTGCCCATCTGAGTATAAGAGTTTGAAATAAGAGCAAAATTCTAATTTCTTCTTCATGATTTACTTTGCGTGTGTCTGGAGAGAGAGGTTCTCTTTTTGGAAGGTTTAAGGATGGACAGAGTATTGGGCACAGTGACTGAAGTGATTGGGATTTCTGCAGTCACTCTTCACATGATTATTTACTGCCTTTCAATGTGAATTAGGAATAAAGCTCAGTTTAGGAACTCTTGCCAACATAGCATTTTTATTTGCATCTCTTTTATGACATTTCTTGAATGAAAAGGCTGTAAAAGTACAAATATTACCATGCTGCTTCCAATATAGCTCAGTATCAACATATAGTGAATTTTTATTAGTTGAAGCAATTTGGGTTTTTCTTCCCACGGCATTAGTGGCACCTATACCTGAGGTGGCAACTTGCTTAGCTCAGCTATCCCAGCATTGAATCTCCCTTGGGGAGCAAAGCTATTGCAATTGTAGGGAACAGCTCAGTGAGACTTCAGACCACTCCTGTGGGTCGGGGTAAGTTGTCCTTCAGCAGTGCCAGGCTTCGCTGTAGAGGCCAAGTGACAAGCCTGGAGCGGACACTTGACTTGTAGGGAATGAAGCTGGTTGATGTGAACGCTATCATTTGGAACTGTAGATTTTATTAAGGCTCTGTGGTTTGTCACGTGGGTGAATTTGAAGTTAAAAATGGGGAGGAAAGTTATATGACCACCTGTACTCCATTGACTGTGGAAGGTGCCCAGAGTGATTAGCAATGGCAACGGGTTTTCTCTGTATATCTCTAAGATAACTGTATCTTTGCAAAAATTTTGTGACTTGCGTAGTGCTTTATTCCAGGTATCACATTTATCACCCTTTCTCTCTGAATCTTCAAGGGCTTCACAAACTGAGTGTTATTGTCACTATTATCATCTTAATTTTACAGATGGGGGTGTTAAGGACATGTTAGTTTTTCTTTGCCAAAGATCTGTGATGAGTTTATGCCATGACAATGAAAATTTCGGTCCCCAGCCCCACCACTCTCTTCTCACCCTCCTCGTGTTTTGGCACTGAGATGAGGTTTTCTCATACTTGGAAGTGCAATGCATTATTTCACTCAATTTTTTTTTCTTTCATGGTTTTATTTTGGTGTTTTTTTAGTAAATCACCCTAGCAAGAACCTGAGGCAGATTCAAAGATGACTGTCATGCTGCTTCAGGAACAACTTGTCTGCCTAAAAGCTGGAATCGACTGAAATGATTACTGATGCTTCAGCTTGTACTAAGATTTCACTCCATCTTATAGAATTGTAGAATGGTTTGGTTTGGAAGGGACCTTGAAGATGATCTTGTTGCAACCCCCCTGCCATGGGCAAGGACACCTTCCACTACACCAGGTTGCTCAAAGCCCCATCCAACCTGGCCTTGAACAATTCCAGGGATGGGGCATCCACATCTTCTCTGGGCAACTTGTGCCAGTGCCTCACCATCCTCACAGTAAAGCATTTCTTCATAATATCTAACCTAAACCTACTCTCTTTCAGTTTAAAGCCATTCCCCCTTGTCCTATCATTACATGCCTTTGCGGAAGTCTTCATTCAATTAATTTTCTGTAGAAGCAGAGTTTTGGTTAAAACAGACAAAGCTTGTCACTCCTTACGAATAAAGCAGTGAGCTATGCTCCTGCCACTCTGGCTCTGCAGTGTTTCAGTGACAGAGGGCCAGAGCAGCAGCTCCTGAAGCCGGAGCCGCACGTCAGTGAGCTGTGCAGCCAGCTCTCCAGTGTGCTGTTTACCTCACATGAGTGCTAATTTCAGCACCTGCTTTTGAAACACTTCATGGAGAATTTATTAAGCACAGGCAATGTCAAGGCAGTTCTGAAAATCCTCCTGGGGCACCATGATGCAAAACGGTGCCCAGAGGAGAAGCTTCTCTGCTCGAATCTCAGATGAACATTGCACAGGTTTGTAAATGCCAGGGGATACAGATCTTGGTACAGAGGTTGTAAAGTCTCTTAAAGAATATTTTATTTTAGGAATTCATGGTCACAAGAAGCTTGAGGATTCAGTGAGCTTGATCCTTGCCATCTCAGCAGTTGCCATCTCCTGTGGCTTTATCCTTTTATAAAAAGATCGTGCTTCTCTTCCAAAATAGGTAGACTATTTTATCCCTGCAGTCTCCTGAAGACTGTTCCAGAATGTCACTGCTAAAACTACCCTCTGCTTGCCAGTCTGCATTTGTTTATCAGCAGTCTAAATCAATGGTTTTAAAAATATTTTATTGTGCTAACATTTTAATACCCGAGCAGTTTTCTCCTGGTGTCTGTGGTGGAAATCTCTTCTGTAGAGGAGTTAAAAAGGACTCAGCTAACATGCCCCAACCTCTGTCCTCACAACAGGCTGTACCAGGCCCTGTCAGCCACCATAACTATGTGCTTAGTTGCTCTTTCAGTGGAAAAGAACAGATCTTGCTCTACTGTTAGCCTCAAGACTGGCCTTTAAACTTTGCACCTGAAGTTTAGACAGGGTGGGCCCTTGAGGAATTGTTAGGAGCACATGCACATTTTAAAACTGCATTTCTGAGAAAGTATTTACAGGGAAGAAACTGCTCATTTGCAAAGTCCTCTTCTGCGTGGTGGAGATGTGGTATAAAACAGAAGTATTGGCTTCTGTAAACTTAATTTGAAACAGGCAGCTGTCATAACTGAACAAGTGAACTACATCCTCCTGTCTCACCCTGCAAGAGCTGGGTATGCTCATGCCTCTTTGGTTGCATGCAAGCAGTTCGATGGCTTTGAGGTAGCCCTGAGAAATTTAAAAATATTCCCAGATTAATCTGGCATCTGAGTGTTCACCACATACCCCAAGGTGAATAGTTGTTTGGCAGTACTGCGGGAAATTCATTCACAAAATGGGAATTGAGAGAGTTGTGGTGTAGGAACTTGTTTGTGAATAGCATACTGTTGCCTCACTACCACGCTGGAGTTGTAGCTCAGCTTAGAGTGGCTGGACTCCAGAAAATATTGGTCTTTCAGTTGATTTGCATTGCTGATCAGGAAATATGTAATTGTAGCAGACTTCTCTGATCTGCCTTTGGTGTTATTCTCGGTGCTTTTATGCAACACATCTATCAAAGGAGAGTTCACCTGATCATCTAGACAGTAACTGCTTGACACAAGGTATACATTACTCTTTCTCCCATGACGCATGAGCTCAGGGATTTGGTTTTGTCTGCTTCTGTCCTTGTTCATTATAAGTTTAACCATACACAAAGCATCATCTACACATCCATTTTACCAAAAGTGTGTTGGAATATATGTATTAGTAGAATGGGGTACTGGGATAACTTGCTCCCTCTTTCCATTTAGCATCAGCACGGACACAGTGTGCTTTATATTTTTAATTAAGAATGGAGAACATACAGAAGACAAACACCAAATATCAAAGTGTGACTTGGATAAGCAAATAATTTTTATTCCTTATTTTGTAGGCAGTTCATCTCTTTTTCCTGAAACAAACAGGCTTGGTTTGCTCACAAGTTTGTAAATAAAGTACTGTCTTCAGCAGTTGGTTGGAGGACAGGGTAAATTTGTAAGGTTTATCTCATTAAGGCATGTAAGATTACTACTGTTCTGCAATGCATTGAGGTTATAACCTGAGGTCCATCTAACAATACAAAATTGCATGGTAAGGATGGTCCCTCCTTGCAGGTTTCACTGGTTTCTTCTGGTGATATTTCCTGTTGTTGGTGGTATACATCTTAGGTTTTTTTCTTGTGTTTTATTTAGGTTGCTGACACTGTGGTTGCAGTTTATTCACAAGATACCAACCAAACACTAGTATTTGAAGAACCACTTGGATAGGCAGAGTTCCTCACCCAGCATGCCTTTCAAAGCTGGATTAGAACTGACTGAATTGCAGAATATGACTGTCCCTGAAGATGATAACATCAGCAATGATTCAAATGATTTCACAGAGGTGGAAAATGGCCAGATAAATAGGTGAGTATTTTTCCACTGACGTTTCCTCTGCTAAGAAACACACTGTTTAAAAACAGCATTCTAATTTTCAGTATATGTCTTGAATTATTCATTACCAAGTCATGCTTCATTTGAAGATGTAATTTGAATTTCATACGTAACATCTGTTGGGCATAGGCTGCAATAGGAGATAAAGCAAACAGTGGCAATTTATTCATCGTTTTGAATCTTTCAAATTAGTCTAATAAAATTCACAAACATATAATGTAGCAAAAAGCCAACATTTTGAAATATCTGCTTGCACACAGCAAGGAAGTAATAACAATTAATACAGTGGCAGAATTCGGGGCAAATCTTCTTGTTGGCCTTTGATCCCTGATATGACAGTTTTAACCTGTCTGGCCACATCCATGCATCCAAGCTCCTGAAGATTTACAGCTGGTGTGGTTGGCAGCAAGTGTAGTCCCAGTCCATGTTTGCAATTTGGCAAGATAAACTGGGCAGCAGTTTGCTCCCTTCAGGCAGGGGTGGCAAGAAGATGGTAAAACAGAGTCTTACACTTAAGTCATATCAAGTTTCAAAAAATGCATGAATACTGGCGAAAATTGCTAGTTACAATTATTAGGCTGTTGGCTTTTTCTATAAGCAGTAGTCATTTCCAAAGAGCTGCCTTTTCCACCAGAGAGTAGTTCTCCAGCCCTTCCTGTCAGACTCCAACAGGTGCTGAGCCAACCAGTTTGTAGCAAAGACCTGCTGACAGACTCTGTTTGGGTTTTGTGAGCTGTAAAACAGGAAGCTCTTTTTTGATCAAACTTCCTTTTCAAATATTGCAAACCAAGGTGGAGCACATTGGCCAGCTAGTAACTGCATGGGGATCCAGCCCTTTAAAATCTTCTCTTGCCCTTTCTTCCTTTTGGCAGCATCTTCTCTGGCTATCTGGGAAACTCACTTTTTTACTGTTGAAACAAAACTTAGAGCTGTTTTTTCCCAAGTGTGAGTAGAGTCATGTGACTCACAATTGTGTGGGGGGACAGGGAGCTTGGTGACAGGTATGGGAATAAGCAGTCAGCGCTGGCCATACCATTCAGGTAGCAAAACCAGACAGCCATACTGTGGGATGGAGCAGGGGGCCCTGGCTGGCGGTGTGGGTGAGCCCCCAGCAGGAGGGTGGCAGCCTCCCCCCATCGCCCGCCCTGGGGAAGTCCTGGGGACGTAGCCAGCAGGGCGTGTGGTGGTGTGACCACAACAGCTGCGCTGATGAAGATTAGAGCTGGTTAGGAATTTTCTGATGCAACTGCTTTGATGGAAAGTGCCAAAACGAAATGCAAACCACTTCTGTTAAAAAAAAAAAAAAGAAAAAAAAAAAGAAAGGGAAGAGCACGACACAAAACCACTCCAACTTTGCCAAAACAACACAGTTCCAGTATGAACCTGCTTGCTTTCCTGCTGGTTCACGTTGTAAGGAGAGGAGCTCATGGGCTGACAGTAGTAAATTTGCTCTGTTTAGCCTGCCGAGAATTTATATCCTTGAGAGAAGGAGTGGCTGTACCAGGCTGGGTGCACCTCCCCAGCGCTTTGGCTGGTGTCACCAGTAACTGTTATGGGGGAAAACCCTGTTGGCACTTCATCTTTCAGTGAATGTTTATGGAGGGTGGGGAAGGAGTGTGCCATATGTGCCTGATTCTCTGCAGTCACAATGTGCTTTGTGGAGTTAAGACGTAGTAAGCATGACAAGAACTGAGTTGAATTCAGACTGCCTGCAAAAGGAAGAAGAAAAGTGGGGTGAAGGAAAGAGGGTCAGAAACTCAGATTAATGCTCTGGCTCTTAGGGCATGTGAACATATTCCACAATTTTCTGTTCCTTTCTGGATAACTTTTTTTCTTCTGCAGACAATCATTTGGTTGTAGGATATAGCCCATTATAGTTCTCTATTATCCCACTGCCAGGGCTCTCATGGGACAGCTACTTACATCCCACACATGAGAATTTTGGTCTATATATCCCGGTTTGTTCATATTCCACTCCATGTCTAAAACAAGTTTCAAGGCAGCTCGTGCTGACCACAGCTTCCAGTGCAGCAGCATGTTGGCACCAGTGCAGCCTTGTGAGCATCCCCATGTATGATGAGCAGGGGGACATATCCTGCTCTGCACCCCATGCTGAATGCATCCTGAAAGGATGTAGTTATTCCCTTTCTATAACTATCTTGGGAAACACTGTTTTTCCATGGAATAAGAGGTTAAGAGGCATAGGGAATAACACATTTTGTGCTGCCTGGCACATGGTGTGAGGCCTTGTGAAACTCCAAAGTGCATCAAAATCAGTGGGATTTTTTTTTGTTGATTTCACTTGAGCTTTAGATTAGATCTGTAATTTTCAACTAGCTTGCTTTTTTTGTCGTTTCAACTTGTTTGATTTTGCATACTGTATTTCATTTTGAACATTTTTTCTCCCACTGCATAATTGTTCAAGCTAAATATAGAACAGAGTTTTAAGGGTCTTTTGGAGAAGGTATACGAGGGAGAAGCTGATTCCAAGTCTGATTGTAAACTCCAAATAGTTCTTGATCTTGGAAAAGAATTGTCTAGTTTCCTTTGGATTTCCAGCCTTTTCCAGGCCTAAATATACAGTTGTATGTAGGGAGGGGATATTGCTTTGAAGAGGCTGTACCGAGAGGGTGTTTTTTTTGTATGCAGATGTTGAATGGAAATGCCAATCTAGAGATTTGCATCAAATTCAGACATGGATTTGGTGATTTTTAACCATGTCTCCTGACTATAAAACTTTGCCATCTCTTCACATACCTGTAAATCGGTATTTAGATGACTTATTTCTTATCTATAACTATGACAATGCAATACTTTCAGGAAGCTGATATCTGAATGCCTGTCTTGGTTTACAGCTACTAGTAAGTCATCAGCACCCCTTGTTTTGTTAACAAGGTTGTTAGTAGGTATACCAAGATCTGGTCCAAGTTTCATAGTGTAAGTCAGACCAAGCTTTCTTCTGCATTTCTTGTTCCGGCCTGCCCTGGAAATCTTTGCCACTGCTCAAGTTAGCATGCAGTTTAAGAAGCTGCCTAAGGATAAAGTTCTATCATCTTAGCAGAACTAGCTTTTCCTAACAAATGTTTAAGGCATTGTCAAATATCATTTTAATTTAATTATGTTTAAACATATCCAAGATAGCTAAATGGTTTCTGGCTAACTCTGCTTAGCCAAAGTGATTAGGTTGGAGATATCACCTTAACTAAACATTTTTCGTTGAAGTCCTTTAATAAATTGAATTTGGAAACCATAGTTTAAGATCATCCTTTTAAAATCACTTTATCAATAATACTAAGTTTCTGCTTTGCACTAAATCAATCCAGGAAAATAATTAGATTAAGATATTCTTTCCAAGCCAACTGTGAGGCTTCATGCATTGCAGGGATGAGCTCATTATATCTTGGCCAGGATATTTCATTTGTGTACCTGAAAAGTTTTGTATAATCTGTTCATACTCAGCTGTGATACAGGAAACACAACAGGAAAGCAGAAACATTTAAGAACAGGTTATGTCTTTTAATGATGAGTAAAGCATTTGAAATGAAGACAACAAACAGCACAAATGGATTTCATGCTTGTCAGTCTTTGATGGCACAGGCGGTCCTGCAGCTCATTGCCACAGCACCTCTCACAGTGGCCTTTGGTCCTTGGGAGGGCTGGGAGAGGCTGGCATAAACAGGCGTTTCACTTAATTTGTGTCATATTTTTAAAGGTCAAATATACAACATTCTGTGACAATGAATGGCTTGTTGTCTAAGCATGTCTATTAAGCAGAGCAGATGCATGGCACAGTTTAACTAGAAATTCCAGTATTTCAACATATGTTTCCTTTCATATGCTATAGGGGAAAAAAACCACCCTGAAATGAGAAAAAAATGTTTACAGAAAGCAGTATCTTGGGAAAATTTGCTTCTGTTGAATTCATTAAAATACCTTCCCCCTTACACTTTTTTTTTTTAATTTTATTTTTATTTAATTTAAGATCAGTAATACTTTCCTTTTATGGAAAATTTGTCTGTTATATGGTATGGCTGTACCACCTCCCAAGCATTGTGCCAAGCATTGTGCCAAAGCAATCTTCTTGTCTGGATTTGCAGGTTAAATTGCCTGCAACAGCAAATGCAGCACAGGCAGACCCCACACCCCCCCACACTACATCACTGATGAACTTTCTGGGAAAGGAATCCTGGGGCTGGAAGATGGCCTAGGAAGCACCCCATAAAGAAGCTGGGCTCAGTGCTGTGTAGTTCATGGTTTGGGAGCACAGTAGCCACATTCCCACGTCTGACTTTGCCCTCCTGTACACATCACACAGCATAAGTGGAGCAAAATGTGCAGTGTGATTTGGTAAACATGGGGTGGATGAGGAGCCCAGCTTGTAATAGGAGATGAGAGGCTGGACAACAAGCCCGCTCCATTTCTAATGTAGAGCTAACTCAAAAGAAAGTACTTTGGATCAATTTATCAAATCAGGCTAGTTTTCTCAAAGTCCCATCCGGAAGGAAATAACATGTTTGTTGGCCACAGAAGATACCGGTTTTGCAGAAGCTGTTTACTTTGTCAGAAATATTCTAGTGGAAAGTCCCACGGTAGTTTTTATATTCAAGCAATATTTCTCAAGTGTTGTCTTTATCGTGTATTAGTTTTTTAACAATAATTTTCATGGAACTCTAATACCAGACAGCAATAATAATAGTATCTACAAATTTGTTATTTTTGTCATTATTAAGGGGGGATTGGCTGCAGGGGGATGAGCAGAAGTGGGGAGATCAGACTAATGACTTCTGTCATAACTCTTGACAAAATCTAAAATGACACATGATCTCCATAAATGACAGAAGAAGGCAAAGTCCACAGATGTTCCCAGCAGCAGTTACAAATCCAAAAGAGATAAAGCTCTTCTCTGTGCTCCTGCCTGTACAAATTGCCTGCAGGGTGTTTCAAGAGAGAGCTGGAATGTCTTTTTCAAACCGTTCACACTCTGCTGCCTGCGTTCAAGAGATGAGCTTTAAACAGACATGAAAAAGAAAAGCACATGCTCTGAATCAAGTTGAGATTTTATTCCATGAGGATGAAATACCTACAAGGTGAGCTTTGGAAAGTTAATTTCGATCAGTTTATTTTAGAAGAGGTTGCTCTTCACAAACAGTGGGGGGGGGTTCAGCCATCTATTCCAACTGTGTTAGCACTGGTAAATCTGACATGATGTCTATATTTTGCAGCAAATTAGTTGCTGAAGTTAGTGTTCAAAAAATACGGGAGAAGCCTATAGTTGTTTTTTATTGACATAAAGGAAATCAAAGCAGACCAGTGAGTAGGAGTCAAAATTGCAACAAATCCAGGAAAAAATACTACATACATTTTGCCAGCTATGCCCGGATTTAAGGGATAAACACAAAATGTTAAAGACACTAAGTCCAAGTGTGTCAGGTGTGGAAGCCAAGTCAGCAGCATTATAACTGCATGATTTTGCCATAGCTGTGCTAGCATATATCAGTAGTAATTAAGCCACAGCTGAGGTAGTAGGGAAGTTTGATAGAGCTCTGTCTTTACGAGTTCACCTGAATACCACTGGATGTACTCAGATGATGTGCAGTCTCGAGTCACAGTTTGAATTATATATCCCCAGCCAGTAGATGTTCCCAGCTGTGGGAAAGGACCAGCAGTGCTGCTGTTTGTGTCCAGTGTTGTTTGTCTGCTTTAATCTAAGAAGAGTCAGCTTAATGTTCCTACAGCTAAAACAGCCTCTGACACTTGGTGACAGCCCCTAGTTAGGTATGTGACATGTACAATTGCTGATGCATTAGCCAGTGCAGACTAAGAACCATCTGTGGATTAACAAAGATGCCAGGGACTTAATTGTGCATAAACCTTCAAAAGATGAAAAGCTGAAAGAATGCTTTATACAAACTAAAAAGTTTGCTGAAGAGAAGATCTGCGAGAAAATAACAGCTCATCTAAATCAAAAGTGTTGTAAATCCCAAGGATGCCACCACAGCCATAGGAGGACAGTAAGTTCCTAAATGTGGATACATCAAGGACACAAAACAAGTAAAGGGTAAAGAGAAAGAAAAGCTGTTTGTTCCATGTTTCCCTGCACAGAAGTGTTGAATTTTGCAGTATGATGAATTCAGTTGTGAGTTTTGAAAGACACTCAATTGAAAATTTAGTAGCCCAGAACAGTGCACGTTGCCTGGTTCAGGATGGTCTAGGCAGTGCTGACTATGTGTGGCACATCCTCCTGTTCTTAACTTCAGACGTACCAACACTATGTGGCAATTTAGGGTTTCAGTGGCAATGTAGGGTTTTACAGTATCACCCGACAGTGAGGGGACACGTGGAGTCTTTGAGGGATCCTTGGCAGAATGATGATAGCAGTAAATTATAGTTACAATTAAAACTTTTTTTTTTTAGCAAGGTATTATGATTAGTGTAGCACAGAATTTAGTATTTGAATGGCACAGGACTTCAACAAACTGAATCAATGTAGTGCAATTTATAAGTATTATAATACAGAATTTATAGTATAACTTAAGATTTATAATCACCTGGACCCTCAGCAGATGGGGTCAAATCTTAATACATGATTTGTTTTATCAGTGTACAGTCATAATCTAGGCATAAAAATCATATAAAAGAATATAAGTCACTCCCTTATTCCTTGGAGGATGCAGAGGACAGAGGGGTGTTCCTGGCCAGCGGCAGCTGCAGTCCCAAGTTCCCCACTTAGGCCCTGTAACTGCTTGATTTTACAGTCAGCGCTAGGGGTGATGTTGTGCTTCCCCTCTTCTGTGAAGGGGTCATCACCACTTCCTGGTGGGCTTGGTGCCTGGGACCTTCCAGGCTGGCAAGGAAGGAAGTAATCGAGTTGGCGCCCAGGCGTCTTGAGGTCGATAGGGAGGGGAAGAAGAAATCTGATTGGTTTGTCTGCTTGCTTCACAGGACCTTCAGGGTGTGATAATGGGAGAAAGGAATGAATACATGACATGCTTGGTCACAGAGAATGGCTGCTTGCCTTACAGGGTAGCGTTAGTTATGCTAACCCCATGAACAGGGCTGGGAGCAGTGGGTACTCCTCATAAGCATCTCTGCAGGATACCTGGAGAAGCATTTCCTCTTAGCATCTGTGCAAACAAATTGCTTTCCCATCCACAAAATTGTTGCTGCTACTTTACAAAATTGCCTAAAAGACCATTCTGTGTATATATATATATATATATATATACATACATACATACATTTATTCTGATCTTGTGCTGGTGTTACCTTTACTGATGTCCAATGTACACTGTATTAGTGGGGCATAATCTGTTATGAGTTTGGCCTCTTTTCACACACAGTTTTTATACATTGCTTATTTTGTAATCACATGCTGCTCATGGAATTAATGTGTTCACATTTTCTAAGCACTTGCTGGAAATAAATCCTCTGACTTCTTTCAGCAAGTTTATTTCAGATCGAGAAAGCAGAAGAAGTCTCACAAACAGCCACCTGGAGAAGAAGAAATGTGATGAATATGTAAGTCTCTCTCACTGTTCTGTTCCCTGTCGAAAGGAACTGCGTGTTGTCTATATGAAGGGCCTTTAGATATCATCTTCAAAAGTGCTGGGCACACACAATTGTAACTGTATTCAAGTTTCAGTGCCTGGGAGCAGCACTTAAATAAAACCCCAAAACAAACCCCCAAGCATTTTGGTTGGGTTGAGGCAAGGGAATCCCTCTGGCCTGTGTTGGACAGGAAGTTGTGGTGGTTCCTTATGGCTTTACCGTATATAAATGATGTGCCTAAGATGTTTCACAGGCATAGTGAAAGATGGAGTTTAAAACTGAAATTGTGTATGAGTTGTGTATTGCCTATAGCATTTACGTCAGTTTACAAAATCTATTGGACAGCAATGAGAATGTAGCTCTGACAGGGTTCAGCAATGCTTTTTCCTCTTTCAAACCAATTTTTATTAAGTAGTTTCCATAGGAGTTGTTACTTACATCTGATACATCACAAAACATGGAGTTTGAAGCAGAGGTGCATTTCCCTGCTCTGTTCCAAGCTGTTGCTGACACATCTGTCTTTACTTCTCCAGATCCCAGGAACTACTTCACTGGGGATGTCTGTCTTCAACCTTAGCAATGCAATTATGGGCAGTGGGATTTTGGGTCTTGCTTTTGCCTTGGCCAATACGGGAATTGTCCTTTTTCTGTAAGTATTCACGTGATGAATAGCTGATCTCTGTGGAGTTTCACTGTGTTTAAAGAATGTGTGCACTGTCAGCAAGTGGAGGGATTTATAGTCCATCTGTAATGAAGTACAGCATTCAAGCCTGAAAATATTAGCTACAAGTTTCAGACATTTTCTTTTCAGTCAAATATTTTTGAGGAAAAAGCCATTACTTGTAATGCTAGGGAAAATTAATTCCATATTATTTACTGCAGACCTAGATGGGGATTTTTCCTGTGCTCCGCAAGCTATGCATACATCAGAAATATTCAGTAGTAATAGCTGCAGTGGGCTAGTACCTTGCTCTTACTTATGTCACAGGATCTCCAGAGCTTTCTTCAGAGTGTGGTGCAATAAACACTCTTTTAAAAAACAAGAATATTTATATTCCTTTATAAGTTACATATAGTATTTTCATCTCACTCACACAGTTTCTTCATTTTTTTTGGGTGAGTACTTGAGAGCCAACATAATATAGCCAAGATTTTGGTATAGAAAAGAGCTGAGGCAGAGTACTTAACTGGCAAAAAAAAAGTCTTTTTATAAAGGAGAATTAAATAGTTTAAAAATGAAACAGTGCCCTTGAATGACTAAGACACTTATTTTGGATCTCAGTATGAGACGTTTCATTGTGAAAAGTGATTGTTAAGAAATCAGTTGGGAATTGTGTGCAGATTTCAATGATAAATGTTCATTGAGGGAAGAAATACAATAATTTACAATATTTGAGAACTATTCAACAGGGTTACTGAGTTTACAGATTGCTCTAAAGAGGTGTCATTTCTTGAATGTCGAATCTAAAAATATAGAACTTTTGTCATTTCTTAGTATATAATGTGAGCCCTGTAGAAAGTAGCGTAGATAGCCAAAGTGGTATGTATTGCCATCTGCTCTGGGATTTTGTGCCAGAATAGCTTAGATCCATGATGCTAGCTTACAATTTGCTGTGGTTGGGTAAAATCTAGAAATAATCCAAGGAGTTAATCCATTTACATTAAGAATGTATGAAGTCTCATAATTGTGTTGTCACTAAGCTAGGCTGTAAAATATCTGGATTGTAATTTACATCTTTCTTTAGCAGAGTGACTCAGTTTATTTTATTTTTGCTGCATTTTTTACCCAGTACTCCAACCCATATGTGATAGTCCACCCATGCTCTGATAAGCACATCTCTGTGGGTACAAACTGGTGGTTGCAAAAACTGCTCTCAGGAGAGAAAAAAAAAGTTATGTCTTTTCAGCCTTGTTACCTCTTCTGTGATAATAGTGTCTCAGCCAAGGAACAGCCTCAATTTCTCCTTACTGCTTTAGTTTTCTATAAGCTCATCTTCTTCTCATTCTTTCAGCAGTTTTTCATGAGAGTAAAGTGAAATGTGTTGTTCTAAAGGATGTAAAAGGGCAGTTTCTTTTAAGTGAAGTAGATCAGACCAGTGATGTGAACACCAGAGAAACTTCTAACAGTGTGTGATGGTGACTGAGCTCGACCCGAGTAGTGAGTATGTAGATCTGTACCAACACACTGTGCAAAAAACTGCCAAACTGAATGTAGAGATTTTATAGAGTAAATAACAGCATTATTCTCTGTGGAATTAACTGTGTGTGTTCAAAAGTGGATAATTGTTTTTGTTAGCTTTATAATGCCTTTAGATCTGTTGGCTTTGAGATATAGCAGCCAACTGAGATCACAGGTAAGGAAGCTAGCAGGACCTAACTGAGCAGGCTAGCAGAGCTTTCCCCTTTGAAGCCTGAAGATGCAGGATCCTAACATGGTGTCTGTAGTTATGCTTGAAAGTTGAACTGCTTTAAATGTTCTTTTATCTTACAATAATCTTAGAGTTAAACCTAGTCTATTAGTGTTAGATTTTTTCTTACACTCTCATTCCATACATAAGTGTATAGTTCTGCTGTTGCTGTCACAGGTAGATCATTTCTGCTTTCACTGCTTTTTGCACATGAGAAAGCACTTAAATTCACTGCCTTTGAGTAGCACAGTTCTGGAAAGTTTATCCCATATTGGCATGCACCATCCCTGAAAAGTAGAAAGCAGAGGCAGAAAAATTAAGGGAGAATTTTCAGCACTGACAAAGCAGACCCACCCTGATTTCCATTCTCACAGCTTCTGGGCTCTCGCAGTATGAAGTGCACACTGCCACGAACACCTGGATCACTTCATATCTTATATCCTTAGCATGAGCCTGCGCAGTGGATTTTTTAGGTGAGACACAGTGTGCGCTGAACTGAGCCCACCCTTTAATCCTGAGGTTCATCTGCCGGGGCCGAGCGAGCTTGGACAGTGGCAGTGAGGTCCTCAGGATGTTAGCATAAGACATGCAAAATAAACATGGCAGTGTTTATGTCCTATTTGCATAACTTAGTGCCATAACAAAGCATCATAGTGTCTAGGCAAAACTACTGAGGTAGGAACTCAGAGGAGCTTAATCCCAGCATTGGTGATTACTACAGCCTAGACCAAAAGAGAACATAATTTCCTGTATGCCAAAGGAGAGAACACTTTGCTGCCAAAAGATGGCACAAAAAGTTTTAGAGATGAGCCAGGCCACCTAGGAATTGCAAGAGCAGTTGTTGCTGCTTGTGGTTTCATCCTGGAGAGCCAGGTCCAAGAGTGATGGATCATGTTGCTGAGACATGTAGGCCAGCCATGCACAAGGTGCCTTCAGCCTGCATTTAGTCCAGCACTGCATGTGATCTGAAAAACCCTGCTGAGGCAGAGGAGCTTGTTAGAAGAGGTATAGATTGAGACTACAGCTGAAGTTTCACACTGCTTCCTGCAGCCGATTCTGCTAGTTTTGGCTGAAAGGACTCATGAAGCTGCAGCCTAACTCCTCCAGAGGTTTAGGGCAGCTGGCAGACCAGCCCTCTAGGAGGCTGTAGGGTAGCAAACCCCATGCTGTTTTTTCCTCTGCATCCAATACCTTATGAGGGTTCAGAACTGCTCTGTGAAATAATTCAGGTGACTTCATGAGCCTCACAGCTTTTCTAGCCCCAAAGCCTGGGACTTCACAGCAGGCTGGAGGCAGCGTAGAATTCAGCTGACCTGGTAAATGTGGTATCTGGGAGAAAACAGCAGTGGCATCACAGGAACGGTTTGTTCTTCCCAACGCTGTATCAGTCCTCTGGCCTAAACTGTTTATTCTTTTACAGGGAAGTGACTTTTGCATCTGCCATTTGCTTGCACAGCTACCAGCTCTTCTTTAAAAGCAGGCAAAACAGAGTAGGGGAGTGCTTTTGGGACTGTAGTGCAAGTTCCCTGTTTCTGTTTTGAATTTGTGCAGAGTGAGTGGCATGGACATTTTCATTCCTTTCCAAGGGGTGGTTCTGGCACAAATATTCCTGTCCATACCACAGTCCTAACACAAACAAGTTTTTCATACAGTGCTAATGAAAATGCCAAGTGTCTGTAAGAACCCTATGGGGAGCTAAGGACAACAGATCAGATAAATACCTGGCTGCTTGGGAGTGTTATTTTTTCCGCTGCAAAGGCTCTGTGAGCTCAGTGCTTGAAAAACAGGAGCTTTTAATATTAAGACAGACTGGATGCTGGCATGCAGAGCTGGAGCCATTTGGGGCTGGGATTGAGTCAGCCCCAGCAGCTGAGCACAGGGGCTGAGCGCCGTGTCTGCAGGCAGACAGGGGCGGAACAGCTCAGCAGGGAACCCGGGCAGGAGGAGGGCTTAGCAAATCTGTAAAAAATGGAGCAGAGTGACCTCAGCCAGTACAATCTCCCTTCCCTTCTCCACCTTCTCAAGGAGAAACAGCCTTGGGGCTGTACAAAGAATGCGTTGTTATTGTCAACCATCATTCTTTCTTGGCAAAAGAGCAGTTCCTTCTATCACCTCTTTATGTTTCTCCCTGCTCCTCTGGCCCCAAGGAACTTGTGGGTCATTATTTGGCACTAAAGTATTTCCAGTCTAAACTAATAAAAAAGTGACGGGAGGAGGCTTCTCATCCTGTTCTTTCTATATATTCATATGAAAAAGATGTGTTGCTGCCTATCTATGGCAGCAGCTTGTTTTCTGTTAAATTTTAGTCTTGTTTTCCTCGGTGTCCGGAGGGTAGTTGTCATAATAAAGAGAGGAATTGCCAACAGATTGTCGGAATGCTTTTCACACACATCATGAAAACATCATCAGGTCTTTGTGTGTCAGTGTTGGAGGGGAAGGCACACATGGTGTTTGACTTAAAGACATTGAGCAATGAGAAAATGTGCTTTTATGCACTTAGCCCCCAGCACTGACTAATTATCATTTGTGCCAGCAAGTTCCCTACACAAACAGTTTGGTCACTACTTCCTGCAATTCTTCTATGTGAAGTTAAATTATGGATCATGTCAGACCAGGACTGACATCAGTGAGGGAACAATAGCCCCCACCTGGACAAAGTATAAGCCTTTGGTTGCTGCCTTTATTCCCAAGGGAGGGCAGTCAAGCCTTAACTTCCCTCTCCTTGGGCACTGTGAGGCACATAAAAAGCAATTTGGGCATGTTACCCTTTGGAGGTAACATATGAAATATGTCCTGGGAAAAGATGTTTCCATTTGTTATGGGAGTCCTTAAATACGGGACTTTCCTCAATTTTTACTCTGCTTCCAAAATAAAAAAGTTTAGAGTGCATGTTGAACAACATACCTGACTCATTTGTGCTCTGATTAAATCTTCATTTCTGTCTGATAAGAGATCTTTACTCTTGCTTTTTTCAGTATGGGGAGGTGTAACTCAGCTGCACTCTGTGGCTCTGCTAAGTTTTATTTGGTTGAATCCCTCTACATGTGGGGTCTTCTACCTCCATGGTGGAACTGCAAACAGCATGTGAATCACATGTATTTTAGGGCTTTTTGCATGATCAGAAGAATAAAAAAAATGTCTTGGAGTCAATAGGAATATGTCCTGACATGAAATATTGAAATGTTAGACTTCATCTCTTATGGTAAGCTTTATTTTCCATTCTTTTGTAGGCTGCTTTTGATTTCAGTCACACTGCTGTCTATTTATTCAATACATCTCCTGTTGGTGTGTTCAAAGGAAACAGGTAATCTACGATGTTTTACCATTTCAGTAGAATTGTAAAAACCAAGAGGTGAAAAGTGTTCAAATGAAGCCAGGTGCTTACTGTAAGGTGGAGTTTTTGTCACTTTGCTGACATGATAGGAAGGCCTGACAAATTTGGGTCAAAAACCCAGAATTAACAAGAATTTGTCATGACAATGGAGAAGAGCATCACTATAAAGAAAAAAACTTATGACAAAGAGTGAATTCTGCTGCCTGGAAATGTTGTCTTCAGTGAGCTAGAAGGAACAGCTCGTATAGTTTCTTTGCATTACAAAGTGAATTACAAATGAAACATAGTGAACCTTCAAACTGACACAGCCAGTGATGAAGAATGCATGAAAATACAGTTTGTCCTTAATGGTTAGTGTGAAATTCCTGATAGCCTTTGTGGTGTAGTAGTAGTTTTCCTAGAAAAAAATAGAAGGGAACAGTTCCTTCACAGAGAGAAGTGTATTTGTAACACAGATACACTATCTAAACACAGAAATTAGAAGTTGCCTACAATGTTAAATGTCACTGTGCTCTGAAAGCCGAGAGTCTCTTTCCTTGTAAACAATCTCTGAAGCCATATTTTTAAAATTATCTGTGCACGAGAACACTATAATATATAAATACGCAATTTGATCACACAAGTTACTGTTCTAGCATGTATAATGTCACCAATTGCCTATTTAAACTCAATGTGGACACATTTGTGCCGTGTTAGTTCCCAAAATCTGAGCCCTGTTTTCTATGTTGCTGGTACATTTAAGCTCAAACTTATTTTTTATACAAGCTTCAAAGCAGAAATGCCAGCTGTAAGGAAATATAGAGAAAACCAAACAATGGAATGCATTTTAAAAATCATCTGCCCAGTGTAACATCTGCAGTATTTCTGTATTTCTCTTTTGGTTCTAATGTATCTAATGATCTTCACAATACCCAGTCTTTTTCTCAGCCTAATTCGCAGACAAGGAAAAAAACCATTTAACAGAAACACAAACCAATTAATAGGGGAGTTTTCTTAAGCTTGATGGTTACTTAAAAAGAAATCTTAGTTATAATTTACACCTTTCTCTGGTTTTACCAAAACTATACCACACTGAGAACTCACAAGTTAGGGCTTTGTCATTAGAAGTTGTAAATGATCCTGTTAAACAATGGCTGTCCTCATTTGGATCCTTTGGGAAAGCAAGTGGAATTGCATAATGGCAGTTCTGTGTCTGTGATGGCCAGGCTGCCAGTGCTGACTTGTGGGTCCTGCTGTACCGGGTTTTGTCTGGAGAGGAGGCTTTCTATGTCATTCTCATTGCAGGCGCAAATCTATACCAGGATGGGGATACCAGAAGGAAATGTCACTAGGGGTATAGACAGACTCATTAAAGGAGTGCAATAGTCTCATTAAGAGCTTCCATTTCAAAAGTGACTGGTAGCCAATGATAACATTTATAGAAGTCAAGAAAACATATAAGTTTCAGCCCTAGAAATTACAAGAGAGCTCCCTATTTACTTGCAACGGGCAGTTTGGGCTACACAGATGGCTGGTTAGTTGAAAAGAAATCATAAGTGTTTCAACTCAGCAGCTTTCAATGGTGTATTTGTTACCTTTCTCCTCTTTTCTTTTCATGCAGGGTGCATGGTGTATGAAAAGCTTGGTGAGCAGATCTTTGGTACCCCAGGCAAAATGATTGTCTTTGGCTCTACATCTCTTCAGAACGTTGGAGGTAAAGGAAATGAGGAATATTAGAAAACAAAGCCCAGGAATATCTCAATAATGTTACAGCTACCAACCAGTCAGGTTCCTCCTTCTCCCCACGACATCTTGGGATCTTCATGCTCCTCAAGATAGCTTTGCATGCAGCCTTTTGAAAATGCTGTAGTTTTACAGTCAGTCATAGTTCAGGGTCTTCTATCATCAGACATCACTGTGGGAGAAGGTTCAGGATGCTTCTCAGTACTTGTTCCACAAAATACTTTATCCATTTTGTAAACCAATCTTCTTCTTCCTCCAGCAATGTTGAGCTATCTCTTCATAGTCAAAAATGAGCTGCCTTCTGCCATAAAGTTTCTAATGGGAAAAGAAGAAACTTTTTCGTAAGTTGAATTAATTTTGATCCTTAGACTGTAGAATTTAACGTTGTGAAGTTAAGTTTAAGCATATGTTTACAAAAGCTCTTAAGTATTGGATATCCTTTAGGTTTGTCAAAGTAGATTTTCACAGGAGTCTCTCAGGGGGTTCATAAAAACCAATACAATTTTGGGAAGGAAAAGATGGATAGGAAATGCAGGTTAGTTAGCTGCTGTTTTTACACACTAGATTTTTATGAAGAATGGTGATTTATACAAAGCTCTTATCATAGAATCCAATATTTTATAGTGTTAGGCAACACTTGAAAATATTGGGAGCAGCGCAAGTTAAAGATATTATGTGTTTCCCCGCATTCTCAGCATCTTGCAGAATTTTGTCCCTGGAACATTGTCCGTAGTGTGAAATTCTTCAATACTAGCATATGACAACTGCAGAATATTATACTTAGATTTCTGCCACTTATCATTCCTTGAATTTACCAGTTTCTTTAATAGAGGGATGGCATCGTTTTATAGTGGTAAATATCCCTCACGCTAGGTTATATGGTGTGCTGTAGTGCACAAGAAAGTGGTAGAGACTCCATTCCTCCTCAGGCTATCATACTAAACTGGACCAAGCAATGGAAATAGGTCATCAGAACATCACTAACACTGTCCCTTCTCCTCTTTCTTGCTTTCCAGCAGTATTCAAAGCACTTTGCTAGAGGAGATACAGTCTTGGACTGGCCAGTGCATGCCAGCCCTCAGGAGCCTGGTTTGCCACTCCAGTCAAATGCCTGGGTGGTTTCCCAAATGAATTGTGGTGCCCCTCCCTGCTCCACTGTGCCGTATGTGTGAACCTTTGCACAATCTTTCGTCATCCTGACACGGTGGCTTATATCAAGTCACACAGGTGGTTGTTCTGCCTCTCAGTCCCACTCACTGATCCCAGCAGTAGGGTGATATTTTGACTAGTGACTATGAAAATCTGCCATACCCGAGTCAAACCAGTGCCCTGTTTCAAGGGCTGGATACTTTAAGAGTCTGCAAAGTTGAGATGTGACCCCTTCTCTCCTTTCGTAGGAGCTTGTAGGGTAAGAAGACCAAAGATAGTTCTGTAAGTACAGCAGTCAAAGAGGGTGACTGAAGGGAAAACCAGAGAGTGTTTAAGGTGTGCTCATGATACGGTTTTTTAAATGTTTTATGCAGGGCATGGTACGTGGATGGACGGATTCTTGTTGTCGTAGTGACATTTGGCATAATCCTCCCTTTATGTCTCCTTAAGAACTTAGGTAAGATGAAAATGCCATTTTGGGCATCATGCCACTGACAGCCACATTGACAAAAAATAAGTTACTGTTCTATAAGCATCAAAATTTTTAGTGGTGAGGTATTGGACTTTGAAGTAAGATATATGCAGAGAATTGCATTTTCAAATGTGTTTGAATCCACAGAGATGCCAGTAGGTACACAATGTATTTTTTTAGAATCATGTAACAACATTTGGCATCAAAGTCCAGCTGGGATCTTCCTTTTGAGAAAATAACCCAAACTCGGCTGATGTGACTTGTATGCCCACTTTCATGTATTTTTCAATTATCACAACCTCTTTCAAAAGTAAAATTAGTTAAACTGATGTACAGGTGACCCTGAGGAAGTCAAATGGGTCAGAGCAAGGCTCAAGCCTGACCAAAAGCTAGGAGACTTGTTATGTGAGAGATTCCCAACATGGGAGACTTCCACACCAATAGGACGTGGTTTTGTCCTGCCCAGAAGCTCACAATGCATATTAAATGTATAACACATTTGAACTTTTCATGAAGAAGCAAAAGGAAGTAAAAGCCAAGATAGACTAATAAAATTATTTTGTGTAAGATTTCCTTTTAATTTCTTTCAGGGTATCTTGGCTATACCAGTGGATTTTCATTAAGCTGCATGGTATTTTTCCTGGTAGTGGTAAGTTCAGCTTGCTTTCTTTGTTGGATGAGTCTTAGAACCATAGAATCATTAAGGTTGGAAAAGACCTTTAAAACCATCAAGTCCAACTGTCAACCTAGCACAACAAGTTCACCACTAAACCATGTCCTCAAGTGAAGTAGGCACACATTTTTTGAACACTTCCAGGGATGGCGACTCCACCACTTCCCTGGGCACTCTTTTCCAATACTTTACAACCCTTTCCATGAAAAAAAATTTCTAATATTCAATCTATAACTCCCCTGGTGCAACTTGGGGCCATTTCTTCTTGTCCTGTCAATTGTTACCTGGGAGAAGAGACTGACACTGACCTCCTACAACCTCCTTTCAGGTAGTTGCAGAGTGATAAGGTCTCCTCTGAGCCTCCTTTTCTCTGGGCTAAATAACCACAGTTACCTCAGCAGCTTCTCGTATGACTTACTCCCCAGACCCTTCACCGCCTTTCTTGTCCTTCTCTGGACTCACTTCAGTACCTCAATGTCTTTTTTGTAGTGAGGAGCCGAGAACTGGACACAGTACTCGATATGTGGCCTGATCAGTGCCAAGTACAAGGGGAATGATCACTTCCCTAGTCCTGCTGGCCACGCTATTTATGATACAGGCCAGGATGCTCACAATTTCACTGATATTTTAATTTTAATTTACTTTTTTTTATTATTTTAGCAATTAGCTATCTTCCATTCTTATTCTAGGTTATTTACAAGAAGTTTCAAATTTCCTGTGGTGTACCAGAACTAAATGCAACATCTATCCTATCAAATAGCTCAGCACATGAACATATGTGTAAGCCAAAGTATGTTATCTTTAATTCCAAGGTATGTTTCTTTTTATAATACTTATTTTTAATTCGCATAATATGTGCACCTACACCCCATGTTCTTAATCCGAACATAGGGCCTGATTCTCCATGCTTCCATTTGTGATCCAATGGTGAATGCACAATGGGTCTCCTTGCCCGGTCTTACGGAGATGCCATGATGAATGTACCTTGCAGTCTTGTCCTGCCCTGGTAGTAGATGTGCTAAGGCTATGAGCCTGAGCTACCACTGGACAATTAATGCTTTCTTCAGGAGATTTTTCCTTTCCACTGCTTCTTACTATCCGTACTACAACTGTGCCGTCAGACTCTTGCTCAGCAGAAGCTGAGTAAGCCACACGTGCATCCAAAGCCCAAAAGTAATCTCTGTCCTTTTGCAGAAAAACCACTTCTTTGTGACAGGGTACATGTTTCTGTAGCCATGTGGTGAACCGGACTGCAAAAAGGATACAGTTGGAAGTTAGTCCAGCAAAAATTTGGTTGCCTTTCAGTCAGATGCTTCCCTCTGTCACCACACAGCTGCAAAAGAAGTTGGTCTAAGAGAATGTGAGAGCTCTGGGAGCAGGAGGATGGCTCCTGTCAGCTGTGCTGGGATGCAGTGCTCCCAGTGGAACAGCCCCTTATCCAGCAGGGCATGGTCCTCAGGGCCTTACAGTTGCATTCATAGACAATGGACATGTGTAGCAGAGGCATGCAAAAATTAATTTTTTTAAAATTCAGTCTACCAGCTTCAGTTGAAGAAGCCAATCCAAGCACTGTTCTTTGGTTGGGGGAACCGTCACCCCAGATACAGTGTGACGGAACAAGAATTAGTTAATTTGGTGTGCGATAGCAGCTTAAGTGTAGGTATTCCAGATAGTATGGAAGGGCACCTTCTTCTACAGTCAGTCTCAGCATTTGCCTCAGAGCCAGTGGAGTCACATCAGAAGGATCAGTCCATTTGAAGTAGGCACCCGGAGCTGATATTCTGAGGTTTGCCCTCAGGGCCAACAGTTTGCCAATCATTTTAGCAACTTCGGTGTGTGAGAGGAGAGGCAGGAGAGTTTCACAGAATCAGAGGATAACCGAGGTTGGCAGAGACCACTGGAGGTCACCTGGTCCAAACCCCGTGCTGAAACAGGGCCACCCAGGACTGTGTCCAGGCAACTTCTGGATATCTCTACAGATGGAGACACCACAGCAGCAATGTGCTATGAGTGAGCGAGAGGAGGTCACAAAGGCCTGGGCAAGGAAGGACCACTGGAGAGCAGCCAGTGCATTTACTGAATCTGCCAGGCCTGGGCTGTATCATAGAACAGCTTCTGTGGGAAGGGGATGCCTGTGACCAGCACAAGATCTCAGAGGGTGGGACAGAGCTGCATGTAGGGATGGACTCATTTTGTCCTTGCAGATTCACGCTACCTCTGCTCATACCCATTCCCTAATGGAGAATGGAAGTGCTTGGGCACTGATCATTTGTGAAATTTGGCTAAGGACTGAAATCCCCTCAAGCTCTTAGTGGAGAAAGGGGTGAGGTACCCCTCAGAGGCCTCCTGCACTTCCTGATGACATAATGGTCTTTCTCTTTCCCCAAAGAAAAGCATGCTCCCTCCAAAGCCCTCCTAGTCCTTTTGTTGGCCTGGGAAATTAAGGGATTCAGTCTGGTACATTGAAATATCCATTTATTTGTAAGTTCTGCATTCCTGTTCTCTTTTCTTACAGTCTGGATACGGGCTTCCTCTTCAGGACCTCAGCCTTAGCACCACGGGTGCGCACCCCTCTCCATGCCAAGGCAGGGTAGCGTAGCGGTGACCCGCCATATGTCCCTTTTACGCGTGACACTGTGCTAGTAACTGTGGCAGTAGCTGGGCAGGGAGACCCATCCCAGGGAGCAAAACCAGCAGCAGTGTGTCATCCAGAGCTGCGCTCTACAAGCACAGTCAGGGCTGCACTTGCGCCACCAATGCGAAGACTTTGTCCTCAGGTTGAAAGCGCGCTGCTTTCCGTATTTCATTAAATACGTGCTAATTGACAGATCTTCTGCCTTCTCAGAAGGGCTCTCAATGTTCAGTTGAAGAATTCAAAAAGCTGGGAGCTGAGGTAGTTGAACATTTCTTCACACCACTGGAGGAAATACTACTTCTTAACTTCTTTTCTGAAATTCTCTCTGAACAGACTGTGTACGCTTTGCCCACCATTGCTTTTGCATTTGTGTGCCACCCGTCAGTCCTCCCGATTTACAGCGAACTTAAAGAGTAAGCCTTTCTCTTTCTTTTTTTTTCTTTTTTTTCCAGTTAATTGTTTTTAACCATTTTACATGGAAAATGTTAGCACAGAGGTGCTCTGAGTCATTCGTGCCACTCAGAGATGTGCTTTAACAACACCCAACAAGCCCGCGAGCATGGCTGTCAGCTAGGAAATCTGGCCGTGCCGCGCTGCTGGGGTGGGGGCAAGGGAAGTAGAGAATAATGCAATACTTGTGAGTTTTCTCTGGAAGTACACAGCAGCCTGGGGAGAGCCAAGTTGTGCTGGTCATTATTTGGCAGAGGCGTGTGTTCCACTAATGGTGTTTGTTCCAGTGCAACTAAAAATCTGTTGCAGTACCAGGAAAATAAAAGTACTTTCAGCCTCTGATATTAAAAGACCTTTGCTGGTAATGCTGTCTCACTGACGCTTCTGGCTGGGACCAGTCCTGCTGTGACATCATTGGCAGCCCTGGGCAGCTACAGTGGGGTCCTGGGCCACTGGGGAGCCCAGGAGGGAGATCAGAGTCAGGCAGACCCATGAGTGCCCTCGGGCCCCTGCCACTTGCTGGGTGCTTTAAATTTCAAGTGACTTTAGCAGGTTTGCAGGTGCCTATTTAGGGCATCCTTGTGTGGATTTAAGTCTAAGTTTAGGCACTGGAGTGTAAATACTTTAGAACAAATATCTAAAGATGAAATGTTTACACTTTTACCTATTTTATAGGTCTGCATACATCCGTATTTTCTACCCATGGCAACACGAATGTTTCTCTACAGTCATTCAGAATGTTTCTGGGTTCTTTTCCTCTCTGTGTAATTTTATACTTCTCTCATTTTGACCTTTTAATATAATTATTGAAGTGTTTCAGGGCCGTCCTCTCTCCACAGGGCTTCACTCTGTTTAAGCAAGTTTGGCCATGGAGCAGAGCCATAGGTTGGACCCACCATTTTTTGACTTAAGCCCCAAGTAGGGTCCTTTTCCCCAGTCCTTTTCTTCCTTGTGCAGCTGTCAATGAATTCGTGTTTTATGTGGAAATACATTAGTGAGTCTCCCCAGAAATACTGTGTTTATGCAAAGACTTAAAACATTTGAAACAGCTATTGAAAAATCCAGCCTAACCATTTTTATGTGTTCTTTTTCTGTTCTTTCTCCAGCCGTTCACAGAAAAAAATGCAGTTGGTTTCAAATATCTCATTTTTTGCCATGTTTCTGATGTACTTTATGACTGCCATATTTGGCTATTTGACTTTCTACGGTAAGTATGCAGTTCTTTATTGATCAGAGTTGAAAGGGGATACGTGTAAAATCAATAGTGTATCCCAGCTGGCAAGGAAAGTCCCATCCACTTATATTAAAATACTATTCCAAATAATTTTCCTTAAAGTTTTCATATGGAAGATATAAGTTCTTTCTTCCTTTTCCCCTATGGATGAAAAGCACAAGTGAAAGTATTATTTGCAAAAGGCATATTCAAAATATGAGGGAGAGATTTGTTTAACAGAATTGGGGATTAGCTGGGGCCCACTAAGATTGTGTTCCAGGGTCCTCACCTGAATGACGTGTGCATTGGTAACGACTGAAGCATGCATACTTGCAAAAAATTAGACAGATTTGAGAGCAGGTCCTAGGAAATGAGTAACAAATAGGCCATCACAGGTTTTTCACTTTCTTATTGATGCGTTTAGAGACAACAGACCAAATGTTTTCCCTGTGTCCCTAGAGCTGACCTCTTTAGGTCTTGGTTAAACAAACTGGCAGTGGGGAAGCTTTGAGTATTGTCCCAGCTCAGCTACCAAAGGATGGTTATTTCAGTGTTTGAGACTCACACCGTCTCTTTTCATGCATATCAATTCACTTAACAAATTATGTTGTGTCACTAAAGAATACAATATGTGTGCCCTAAAGGCACAATTGTTAAGTAGAGTAGGATAAAACATGAATGTTGCCCAGGAAGTTATTCCCATGTTCCAGTATAATGAGAATGTTAGAAAGCAGTCTCTTTTTCCATGGACCATTAAGGGGTTACAAGACAGGTGACAAAGCTGATGTTTGCCCTTTACTTCAGAGTCACCATCAGTCTTCTCCACCCAAAAAGTGACCTTTTTGTTGCAACCTCGTCATTTATGATACTGTCCCTTGTAAGCCACCTATTGCAAGAGAAAGAAAATAACTAAATATGAAATGTGGCATTTTTTTTCTTTCAAAGGTTTACCTATCTCATATTTGTTTTCTCAGACTCTCATTCTAAGGCCTTGAGTATACATGCGCTGAAGTAATTTGAGGTCATCTGTTCTAATTTTCCCAATAAAACCACAAATAGGCTGCAAGTGACAACAGCATCAGCTGTTCTCATCCAACTGCTCCCATCTAATACATTTTCATAGAGATGTGTCAAATTATCAGCCCCAGGGAGCAAGTGGGTGTAAATCAGCATGGACCCCTTCACTTTGGCAGGGAGGAGATTCTGATGTGATTGCCCCAGGGATCTGAGGAGGCAGATCCGTGGCGCTCCTCTCTGGGAATCTCCCACATCCCTCAAGGACGAGGGTCTGGAGTCCATGGAGGAGGTAGGGGCTGCGTCCTTCTGGCCCTCCTGAGGGGGAATGGTGGAGGAATCCCTGGGGTGTCTTGTGTGCGTCTTCCCACATCAGGCTCCCCAGCACTGAGAGCCCACAGACAGAAGCTGTGCAGCTCTGCTGGTGCTTCTGCAAGTGTCAGTGCCATGACAGGCAGCAAAAAAGACGCTGAGGGAATATAAAATTCCTCCACTTGGATCATTCTTCCCCTTGAGACTGACAAGACCTTACGTTTCATATGTTCACTTACAGTGTTCTAACCCTCTTCTCTACCCTTACCTGGGTAAGAACAGTATTTTTATTGTGACCATTTCTTCTTTGCACCAATAGTACTTGTCTGTTTGCTGTGTTCTCAAAAGTGTTGCAGTGATGACTATATTTACATTGCAGAATTACAGAAAAGAGGTGTTTTTCTTCCCCTAAAAGGTCACAGTGTGGTTGGGCTCTGTGGTGTATCTAGCTGAAAGGAAAACAGACCTTCAACTGTAAGCCTTGCCCTTCACTTCCTACCTGGCTGCAGCCCGTGAGTGGTACAGAAGTTGCAGTCTGTGCTTGCAGGAGCAGAGTAAGCTCTGTGTCGCAGAAGCTGTGCATGTGCCCGGCTTGAAAACCCCACTCCTGATCTGCAGGGAGGTGGGAGAGCATTTTCTTTCTCCTGGTGGGGATTCAAGCACTGCATAGGTGGTGTTAACCTGTGGTCTCTACCCAGAAAGGTGCCCTGGGGGGAATGTAGGCATTTTGCCACAGGATAGATCCCTCTGCCTCCAGGAATACATGAGGTTTTACCAAGTGCCAAAGATGGTAAATCAGACGTAGCTGTTGAGTTCCCTTTAAGAGCTGTTATATTTTACCACCAGCTTTCTAAGATTAGCAGGCAGAAACAAAACATAAGCCTAAAAAGGGGCAGCAAGTATGTTTTGTGTCACGCTTAACAGCCCCCGCCTTAGGTTATTGCTCCTGGATATTTAAAACTTACAAAGCAAACATGTAGATCCCTCAGCAACTTGGTTTTCCTCTTGGTTAGTACACGCAGACCTGCTCTGCACTATTTATCACAGCTTCAAGGAAACATTTTGGCAGGAGGTTGTATTAAAATATTGCCAGCGCCTCCCCGTTAGGCACCCCCTGTGATTTGTCTTGGCTGCTGGGGCCGCCGGCTGGCGTGGAGCTGAGCTGCAGGCACTGCTGGCAGCCCTCAGAGGAGCTGCTGAGGGATTTCAGTGCAAATGTCAGTGTCCCACTGAGAGCTGACCCAAGATAGGCTTTGTTCTCGGTTGAGAACAGGGGCACTGCTTTTCACTGGTAGTTTATTTGCTGTTTAGACTAATTTAGTTCAAAACCTTGCAGTTTATATTAAGTTCAACCATTGCAGTGCATGTGTTTATTTTTATATCCTTTGAAACAAAAAACCAAAAAGTCCATGGAACTAATTAAAAATAGCTTATTTCACTTTACCTATTTTTGTATCTATGTATATATGTAAGTAAGCTTTTGTGTACGTCTCACTGTTGTCTTTCCTACAGTGAAAATTACCTTAGACTTAGGCACGTGCTGTCTTGAATTAAGATGCATTCCTAAATCAGGCCTCCAAAGGATTAATCTGGAATAATGGGATCATTAGGATTTTGTTCAAAGCGCTGTTTTAACTCAAGAATGTTTCATTCCGTACTCTTTCGTTTACAGATAAATCACTTGTTGTTCAAGAAGGCTGTTGTTAAACAATGATTTTTGTGAACTAATTGCCTGTTTGCCAGAACACTTACCTTACTGTCTTCTCCATAGAGAGTGTGCAGTCAGATCTGCTTCACAAATACCAGAGCAAAGATGACATCCTGATCCTGACCGTGCGCTTGGCTGTGATTGTGGCGGTGATACTCACTGTGCCGGTGCTGTTTTTCACTGTAAGTAAAACTTCCTGCACGGTTTGGAAGTTGGTAATAGCTGTACACAGCATGTTTCTTGAAACCACAGTCCAGCAGTTGCTGAGACCATAATGTTGCAGCTACTAAAAGAGCTTGAGCTTGGATCAGTTTTCCGTGCACCAGACTCCCACTTAAACTTTTCTGCATGGAGAAGTTCTTCATCCAGGAAATAAATAAATTGCTTTTGGTCTTAAACATGTTTTAAATTGAATCCACAAGGGTTCTCTCTTCCTTCACATCGCTTTATTGGAGGAGGCTCAGAGATGAAGTTAATTTTTAAGTGCAGAAGGATTCCAAAAGATACGTTAGAAAGAGAGGAATATCCTACTGCACATGCATGTGTAACTACAGTTCTGAAATAACAAATTGATTTTAAGGATTATTTCAAAGGACATTACATGAGACAATCTAAAATTTATGACAGATCTATGCAGCACTTGTCACATGAAGAACCGGTTCAAATAAACACGGGAAGCTTTGCATTGGCTCATAGACTATTCTTGACAGAGAAATTTCTCTCTCTCTCCCTACAGGTGCGTTCATCATTATTTGAGATGGCCAGAAAAACAAAATTTGACTTAGGCCGTCATGTTTTGGTTACTTTTGTTCTTTTGGTTATCATCAACCTGTTAGTCATTTTTATCCCATCCATGAAGGATATTTTTGGAGTCGTAGGTACAGTATCCTGGTTTTGTACTACTAATAAAAGACGGTTGCTAATCAGCAACACAATAATTAGCTGTTGCTGGCAGTTAACAAAACTCATTTATTTGAATTTTACAGGGGTCACTTCTGCCAATATGCTGATTTTCATTCTTCCTTCATCGTTGTATTTAAAAATTACACAGCAGGATGGATCAAAGTTGACTCAGAGGATTTGGGTATGCATTCCATTCCCACCAATGCAACACTTCCATTTTGTCATTGTTTATAATGTGCTACGTGCAAAGCACATCTAATCTGAACATAGGTGTGAGCTTTTTTACATTACTTTCCCCCTGTGCTTCAGTTAGCTGGCAGCTGTGCTCGCCTTTCTCCTTGGCTTACCCTGGGGGTCTCCTAGTGGAGGGGCCATACCATGCACAGCATCTCATATTTTGGGGAGCCCTTCTCTGCGGGGTGAGGGACTCCCCTGGCTGGCAAGCAGCAGCCCTGCAAGCAGCAGTAGCTGTCAGTGGGGTGCAGAAACCCCTCCAGCCACCTCAGCAAACCTTTCAGCCTAGAAAGCTCTCTCTGTTTCTGTGAGTTGATGCAGAAAGTGTGCAAAGTGCTCCATTTGTGGTATTCCTCACAGTTTTCATGGACCAGAGTCAGACTTAGGGTTGGTTCCACCAGAAGCAGCCAGCTGAAATGTTATGTTAGCCCTTTAGCATGCATGAGCAGATGGAAATGGGCCTTGGAAAGATTTCCTATGAGCCCCAGAAAGAGCTGAAAAGATGCAATACTGTGTATTCCCAACCTAATGGGGCATGCACTGGAAGCATTGTTAAGGTCAGACCTTCCTTTTCTGAGCAGACAGGCAGGAAACATGTGTTTCACTTGTGGCTACATCCACAGATCCCATGACGAAAGGGCTGAACTTTGATGAACACATATCCGCTGGGAAGAACATACTGATTTCCGTGAGGCTTTGGAAAGAGCAGAGCTGATCAGTCCTAAAAACAGACTCACTTAATCCTCTTTAGGGATGATTGGTGTTTAAGAAGTGAATTGAGAGAAGAAAAAAGATTGGTTTGGTGCTCAGCAAGTAATTATTAATGACGCTAATCTGTTTAATTATCTATGGGTCTTGTCTTTACCAGAAGTGCTATTTCATTTTAGTTGATAACTTTGATACATCACCTTGTAAGTCTCCTTAAGAGGAGAAGTTAACATACTTGAGTTAATTGTCTTTTCTTTTTATGCATTAATTTTCTCTCCGTTTTTTGTTTCAGGCTTCTCTTTTCTTGGTGCTGGGGATAATGTTTTCCCTAGTGAGCATTCCCTTGGTCATCTATGACTGGGTACAATCGGGAGGCAGTGCCGAAGGCCACTGAAGTTCACCTCCTTCTGAAAAGAAGACACCCCTGTTCACTATACACCAAAATCGCAACCATCTGTTCTGTTATCTATTCCATCTTTTGTGAGTTTACTCAAATCAAATCCAAATAATTACTATCCAGTACTGAAAATACTGTTATGGGTGTATTTTCTTTGAGAAAACAGACCCATTTTTCCAACAGACATATCGAGTTATCAGATCAGTGATAAGTCTGTGTTAATTGTCCATGAAGCTATATAGAGCATTGCTCATAGGAATTCATCTCAATTAGTTTTCCCCTCTTCCACTCATGAACTGCATTGTTTCATTATTGTCATTAGCCCTTCATCCACAAGTTCTGCTCCTTTAGAGCAGTGGCACCTGTTGCTATCAATTCCAACTGGAGTGATGTCCATTCACACCCTTCCCTCCCTCTTTTAGCCAAAACTCTGCTCTTTAATTGTACACATCTGGTTTGTTGGTTTGTTTGTTTCTTCTGTTGCAGTTTCAGGCACCATTTGCCTCACTGGGTCAAGTGTAGGATTGTGGATACAGGCATGAAAAGCACCACGAGAGCATAACTGAGCGTTATGTAAGCATAGGTCCCAAATCCGGTGCTTCTCTCTGGTATTCTGGTGGGGGAGCCAGCCCCAGGGCTTGGCCTGTTCGTGGCTTTTGGGAACAGACTATGTGTGTCTTTGTGATGGGGTGCAGGGAGCAAGAGAAGGATGGCCACCACCACCAGCCACCGTTCCCCTGGCACAGTTCTGCTGGAGACTGACCAGAACTAGACTTGACCCCAAACCATGAGTACTTGAGCCTGAAGAGAAGCAGACGTTCAGAGATTTCCATGGGAGGTCTGCATTTTCTTCAGCATTAAACTGTTCAGTAATGTCCCGCTGCTGTCAGAAAAAAATACCAAACTCCAGTTTTATTAAAACCTACACATTTAATCATACCTCATGCCTTTTCCATTCTAGGATTCATTTGTACATACCTTACCCTCCTCCCACTGAAGTCAGCAGGATCTTTGGCAGCAGTGGGACCCTGATTGGACTCACTTTCTAGTGGAAATTGAAATCTGTAACATTTCTTTAAATGAACAGAAATACTTTTTAGTTTTAAAAGTTTCATTTACATTTTTCATCAATTCTTCATAACAATTAAATGACTTTCAATTACTACTAGCAGAAACACTGTAACTTGCATCTGTTGTCCACAGAATAAGCATTTGCCTAATGCCTTATAGCTGGTGTAGAGAACTACTTGTAGAGACTCAAATGCTAAGCAGGTGATTGTTCACCACCCTGAGCAGACATCTTCTATTACTGCACTGCCAGCAGCATAAATGTGTGCACTTTGTGTCATTCACCATGTGAGCCAAAAAGTGTCTCAGAATATGAATGTGGCTCCCACTGAAAGCACTGATGGCTAAAGGGAGCCCCTGTCAAGCCCCAGGGCTAAGTGATGCTCTCAGTATGCTCGAGCCATATCTCTCACTATGTAGTAACTCTTTTGTTCCCAGTAGTGGTTCATTGACAACTCCCATTGTAACTGTGGAAGCACACTGTCATCAGCTGTGAGGAACCTGTCATTGCAACTTGCTCTTTTTAAGGTTAGGGATGGAGTATTTGGGGTCTTCGGATTTCTGGGAGCTACTGAATTGCCTCAGTTGCCATGGCTTGAAGTCACTGAAAGTTGGGACCACAGAGTGCATCTCAGAACCTTGAAAGTTGGTTTCTAAGGGTAACATCCAGAGAGGTTAGTTTGAGGCCTTCCTTAGAATTTGGGTATTGATCTGCAGTGTTCATGCTGCAGAAACTAAGCCTACTAAGCCTAGACTTCCAGATCTGTACCTCAGCCCAGGAAGTGAGGAATCTGCCTCTGATGATACTCCACTGTGATCCAGAAATAAGGCAGAGTGGACTCCACAGGCTGCCCAAGTCCTTGGAGTAGCCCAGCAGCAAGAACAAAACTGGAAGCCTTCTCCCTTCAGGCAAAGTGACCTGCTAGACTGCAGTGCAGGGTTCCTTTATTCTTCCTTCCTCCTGGCCCCTGAGACCTTCACTCACAGGCTCCCAGCAAGATCTCCAGTGCAGCACCCTTTCTCCCAAGGACCCCCTAGCCCAGCCTTTAACACATGAACTGCTGAGATACCTGGGACCACTGGGCTAATGTCCCTTGTGCTTTCCTGTGGCTGGTCTCAGACACTGCGATGGTGCAGGTCACCAGCTCTCTCTGTGCCATCTCTTTATGGGACTGATCCCTACCCTTATTCACAAAGAAGTCCATACCATAGCCTACAAGACCAGGTGTTAGGCAAGCTCTGGGGAGAAGAACCTATGCTTTGTTCCTATCTCTTTGCACCTCACCCACCAGCTTGGCTGTAAGTTTGTGGCTCCTCTTTTGCAGGCACCCAACCCTCAGTGGTCACTGCAGCAGGAGCCCAGCATCTCACTCCATTCTCTGACTCAACTTTCTGAGGTCACATTTCAGGTTTTGAGGTGCCTTATAGTCTCTCTGGATCTTATCCTGAGAAACCTAACTCAGACCTGAGGATGCTGTACAGTGTTATCCTTAAGATGCTCCAGGGCTCTCCTGCTTTCCTCCCCGCTTTATCCTTCTGCTACTGATTAATGAGCAGCATTGCTCTGTGCATCAGGGGTTGTGAGAGAGGAGATCCTGGGAACAACTTTTAAGTACCCAGCTATGAGCTAGAGGTCTGATCTGGTGCACAGGGTTCCAGCAAGGTCTCATCTGTGACATCTCCCTCCTCTCTGTCCCCCCGAATAGTCTGTAGTCTTCTGTTTGAAATACCAACCATTGAGTTTTGGCACCCAACTTCCTTCAACTGGAAGGGCTGTTGGGTCACTGCTCCTTTTATATTCCTAAATCTCTTCCATCACTATTGCTTTCTCTCCTCTTTGCTGTTCTGCCTTCTCCTTTTTCCCAGTTTATTTGTATACTGGAGTTTTACTGAATAAATAGGGAGAATGAGCTGAGTGTGCATAGACTGAAATTACCCAAGGTACTGGACCACCAAAGCATATCTTAGATACTGAAAAATAGATACCCAAAATATTAAGTCTTTAAACAGACTTTGCTTCTGGGTCTCTTAACTAGGAAAAAACCAAAACAAAACAAAAAAACAAACAAACAAAAAAAAATTTTGCTTAAACTGATTTACTGGCATCATATTTATAGATATTTATGGAAAGGTATCGTGTGTTTATTGATGTCTGTGGTAATGAATGTGAAATAACGTGCTTTTTGTTTTTTCATCAGGTTTATACATTCTTAACAGAATGCAATAGACCCTGCTGTAACTGTCAACATCAGTGATGGATGACAATATTTGTTTGAGGTTATCTGTAAAATGTACTGCTGTTTTTCAGTTTATTTGGAATAGTGAACCTGTAGCCAATGATTGTATGAGTCCCACATTTTAGCTAGGATTTTAAAAGCACAGTGAAATGCTATATGAGTTTCTCTGTTAAATTAATAGGATCCAGAGTACCATATCTACTTAGTAGGGAGTAGCGTGTTTTCTTTTCATAGAGAGTTTATCGCTGTTGTGAGCGCTGCAAATGTCATAGACTGGATGCAGAATTGCTCCTAATAACTGCAACAAAAAAACTTTAACATTCTCATTTGCATAATCACAACAATCGAGTGGTGAGGGACAAGAAAGGACTAATTAGAAGCAGGGGCTACTAATGAGATTGTAAGAGTTAATCCTACACTTAAAAGACGGCCTTGCTGCCTCTCCTAGATCACAGCACATTGCAAAGAAAATAGTCATGGGCTTAAAACGACCGTAATACTGCTGCCCTTCTCTGTCCCATGGCACACATACCTAGTAAGTAAAACACAATAAATTGTTATTCAGGAACAGTATCTCAGGAGCAGTGACCTCTCTGGGTGATGCTTGCTTCTGGTCGAAGGGCCAATGCCAAATCCATGCACCAGCACAGACCTTTTGTAGAGCTGACATGGACCAAGTGGTGCCTGGCCCATGTGCAGGCCTAGGGCAGAACAGCTGGTCTCATCCTGTGAGGTCATGGATGGGGATGCTCATCCGCTCCTGAGGGCTGCTCTTCTGAGGCACATTTGAACGCACAGCCTGTGCTCCACTTGCAATAGGTCACATGTGCAAGTGTGAGTTGGATGATCCATGGGTTGTGTCTGTACATCTGCCTTACAGTGCATAAGCGCAACACAGTTCTGATATTGAGTATTAACAGTAACAATGATATCTCTAGCTTATCTTTAAATGAAAAGGTTTCTTTGCTTGAACCTTACATTAAGGCTAAAGAGCATCTCGGTCAAAACAAAACTCTTTCCATGTGGTGGTGTCCCACGTCGAGTCCTACTGTCCCACCCCAGTGCCTGTAGGAGAAAGGCACCACAGAATGTACTCAGCTCCATCAGCAGCTCCAAGAGATGGCTTTATCAACTGGCGCCAGGGTTCTTTCGTAATCAAGTCCCCAGAGCCCTTGGTGCTGGAAAATCCTTATTTCCTATAACGTACACAAAGAATGTTTTATTTGTATCTAATGTAAGGATTTGTGTAACAAACTGTGAAAAAAAAAAAGAATGAATTAATAAAAAGTACAGGGCTGGAAAGGTCTAGAATTCACAAATTGTACACATACCTATGTTTCTCAAAACAAATCTATGCAGTTGTGTTGTATTGTAGGAAATTTCGTTTTTATGTACATATATATTGTAAATAAATAGGATGCTGTATATTTTTGCAGTTGTTTTTCCCCCATGATATAGAAGTGTTGAGATAGGCTCTGCATATTAAGAGTAATTTAAATAGAAATACAAATACTTTAGCTTCTTAGCAAAATGCATATCCTTTTCTTTCTCCCAAGAGTACACAAGTTAAATCCTAAACTTGAAATTACAATTACGTCACTAATGTGACAAGAAACAGAAAAATAAAAGGTCCAATGAAATTGCTAGGATTAATTGCAGTGCATGACTCCCTGTTTTCTCAAGAGCAAGTTTGTCAGTCTTCCTGGTAGGTAAAATATCTCCCTTGTAAAGGGCCCCTTTGGTATGCAGGTACCTCTTACCTCCTAAGCTGAGGTCAGGTGGTAGTAAAGTGTTGAAAAGGCTTTATGCAGAAACCATGGCAAACTGCAACCAGCAGTTTGACCCAGCATTATGCCATGTTGCATCCAGGCATATATTTACCCAACTAGGCCAAACAGGTCAGGGCAAAACTTCTGCATTTCCATTTTCAGCTATCAGAAATGCGTGTACTTCAGAAAAAAAAGTACTACAAGCAAGGGGTGGGCAGCAACCAGAGCAATTGGAATTGGTGCCATTTCTAGCCCCCACCCTACCTGCAGGGTCCTGTGGCTGCTTCTCCACCACAGACCCCGCTGCTCTCATGCAACCAAAACACTAATGCCTGAGGATGCCAAGAGCATCCCCGGCCAGGGACTGCTTGCACATCCCACCCTGTGAACAGGCAGAGGCCAGTATTTTGGTCATGGGATAGCTGCATGTCCAGGGGTGAGGGTGATGGGAGAGGAAGAGCTGTGTGCATCCCGAGAGTGCCTCCATCAAAGGCCTTGTATAGACTTTCTCACTGGTAAAGCATGGAAACATGTCTTTTTCAGGATTGCTGAAAAATGGAGGTTAAGGAAGTGCAACTAAAAATAATTGTATTTTTTTTCCATGTTTACTTTATGAGCTTGGATGAAAATGAAACTTGAAATAACATTTGCTTTCACCATGAGCACAAATTGAGGAAAAAAACCTACATACAGTCAGTTCTACAGAGCTTTTCAAGTTAATACAAGTGTACATTTTATTTTCAGTGTTATAGCCAACAAAATATAAACTGTAAAGGTATTTTTCCACAAGACTTGAACTTTAACTTGTTTATAGAAACCTATTTTTAGTGTCCCAATATATGTTATGGCTCACCCAGATCCAGTATGAACAATGCTGTTTGAATGATGTATGCTTGATACAAGCTTGCCTGTAATAGATTGTTGAAGTGAGTCATTGGTAATATTTTGCTCCTGTTAATATCACCTGTTAACTTTGTGCTGCTCATATCCAAATAAACAACGCAGTTTTTCAGTTTCTGTGTGTAAATAAAAAAAAATGTATTGAGTTCTATAATCTCTCTGTTAACTCTATAGTTTTTAAACATTAAAATTGTAATCTAAACTAATGTTGGGACCATATTCTTTCAAAGGAATGTGTATGTATCATTTTAATAATTTGAATAGCATATGCTCCCTGCTGTTTATGCAAGTATTTTCACTGAATGTAGGGCATGCAGCTTTTGCGAAGCCAACTATATTAGATTTGGTGCAGTATATGCAGCAAAATATCAATAGACATCTGTGGAGCATTAAAGTGAAGTTTCTGATACAGTTTTAGAGGGACCTGAAGCTGGGGCATATGGTCACCGCGGTCTGGGGTTGCTGAAGATGACAGCATTCATTCCTAAAAGACAGTACTTGTTTCTACCTGCTCTTTGAAGACTGTCCAAGTGCTTGCCAGTCTGTTTCAGGGTCAAGTCAGGCAGTTTAATTTCAGGGGCTGTTATTAGAGTTAGGTTTGAGTACAGATGTCAAACTGTTACCTGGAGTGACTAAGCCTTCGCCAGACTTTCTCTGTCTGCTAGCGGATGTATGAGGAGATTCCCAAAGACTCAATGTCTTAAGCATTCCCAGATATAACTGCCAAAATGTCTCTGTCAGAGTCTTAAAGGTTCTGGAAATTGCTAACTTTTTTGCCTTTGGCCATGAATTTTACTAGTGCTCAGGTTGTAGTGACCGCCTACGAAAACAGCTCTTGGCTCAAGTCCTATAAACAACCAAAGAGCTTACTTGACTGCATGGGATGAGTACAGCTCCCTGGGCCCCTCTGCAGGAGAAGTGATGGGAGGATTTATGTATCAGAGGATCTCTGGCAAGCCGCTGCCTGCTCCCCAAGCCCAGGGACATGTCTTAAAGCCATAAGTCAGGGAGCACAGAGGTAGAAGCTTCTGCACTGACCTGGTGTAATAGCCCCTTCTGTTTGGCTTACATTTGCACCCACTTCTCTACCCAGCCAAGCTTAATCATCTCGTAGCCATACCTTAAGACATAGGAACATGGTTTATGGAGCAGAGGGAAAAGCAGAAACTACAGTTACTTTTTTCCTTTTTGCAGAGACTACAACAAACATCTGTTGCCTTCTGCAGTGCAGTCTGACAGCTTCACCTGAAGTTCACCTAAAACCACGCAACAAAACACCAGTCTCTTTTCCAGCCACATACTTCTACCGTTGGCTTGGCACGATCTTCTTGTATCCCCAAGGTCAGCCAGATCTCTTGAGTTCATCTGACCTGTCCCTATTTGGGAGTGAAAAAAAAAGGAAAAATTACTATTTCCTAGGGCAAGCAATGCAGCTCTGTCTGAAGGCAGAGATTCCCCCATGTGGTTCAAGTGGGGTCTTAGTTCAACTGAAATTCATATAAAATTGCATTTAATCTTCAGGCTGAAGCCCAAATTCAAGCAACTGTTAAGATGTCTCATTCCTCAGTTTGCCAAGAGCTAAAAGTAAGCACTCATGCCAAGTTTTAGAAGTGTGGAGAAAGTGGGGATGGTAGGAACAGGGACAAGTGATAAGTCCATTTCCAAAACTTTCTGGCCACAAATACATAATAAACTTAGCACGGGCTTTGCTTCCTGCACCCTGTTGTCCTCAGACCCATGCAAGAGAGCAGCACCATTTGCCTTGCAGTCAGTTGTGTTAAGTATCTCTGGTTCAAACACCAACTTCCTAACATAGATCCCAGTGTGGTTAGACAGAAGTTTTCAAGCAGCCCAGCATCTGTGTTTTGCAAATATTAAGTGCCATGCATTTCTCTTTCAGCTTACAGTTATGGAAAATGGAGACTCCTAAAGATGGTGCACTGCTAAATGCCATGGCACTGGCAAGGGACAGTGCTACTGGCTTAGTGTGTCTCAACCTTGCCATGACTCCCTGCTTGAAAAACATGTGGTTACCGGTTTTCTTGGAAAATGGTGTTGATCGGCCAAGGCTTAAGCAATACAGCTAAGCAAATAAATTGTGATGGGCTGGGGTGGCACCAGCCAGCCCTGTCTGAGATTCAATCTGCAGAGCAAAGCCACCTTGTGAATTCCCTGAGCTATGGGCTAACGAAGCTGCTGTCTTAGAAAAATGGAGGAAAGTGTATCATCAACACGAGTCAGAATGTATCCCGGAGACGAATCACGTCCCCTCCTTAGAAAATGCCTGGCTTAAAGTCTCAGGTCCTTTTCTTAGAGGTAACCAGATCCCCCTCCTCCTGCCTGCCATGTACCCTTGGAAGAGCATTTGCCCAGTGGGCAGCAAACCTTAAGAACTGTCCTCTTGCCAGTTATGAAAAGCTGGTGAAATTTATCTAGTTTTTTGTGGAGATTATTACTTCAGACTAAGCCTTTCAAATGTACCAGGTACTGACCATACCCTTGACATGCTCCCATATGCTCTTCCTAGGGGTTTTACATTAAAAATATACAAGGCTCCAAAAATCCACCTGCCAGATTTCTTAAAAGGACCTTCAGTTCTTTTTATACCTTGAGAGAGAGCACAAGAGAAGACACTACACACGTTTCTCAAGAGGTCAAATAACACACTTTTACTGGCAAACTTTAGAAAATAAGGGAACTTGGCAAAAACTTAAGGGCAGCATTCAAACAAACTAAAGCATTTCACAAAACATTGACTTAGCACATGCTAACCCATACAACTTAGCAAAATCTCACCCATCCAGCCTTAAGTTACCCAAATATCAAGAAAGGAGATTAGAAGAAGAAGTAAAGAAAGAGAGAGAAAAAAAGAAAATTATAACTACTGCCATATGTCCTGACGGTAGGGTCATGACCATGTGGAGGCTTCATGGTGTTGGTTTTATTTGCGCTGGCCCTCTGTGGCCACCCCCTTCATGTGGGACCTCTGGCACACTGGCCACTCTGGGGCTGGACTGGGGCTCCAGGGCAGGGTGTGGGGCGATGCTTCCAGTGTGCCAGTGACTGACAGCTGTGCCAAAGGCTCTCAAGGAGGCAGAGTTATGGGGGGGGGCACAGCACCACTCCACCTTGGCAGAACCCGATCTGCCTCCTCTCCCCACACACAGAGTTGTTCTGAGCCAGTTAATTTCTTTCAATCCCTCACACCCATGCTCAGGTAAGTTTCCAAAAATTATTCTTTCCTAACCCTAACCTATTGTTTTCCCAGCAGTTCTCACTTTACATGAGCTTTGCAACAGCTGGACTGTCCCCATTACTGCCTGGTACAGACCTGCCCCACAGCCCAGGCAAACCTGCTGGTTCCCCTTACCTTGCTTAGGAGGGGTTTGCTCAACCATTCCCCTTGCACAGCAAGGGTGGCAACAACCCTTGTGCAGAGGTGTTTGACAGTGATTAGAGAAGTGAAAACCAAGTACCAGATGCAGGAGCAGCTGACATTTCTCCTCTTCAGGCTCATGCCAAGAGGTTATCCTGGTGAGCAGCTGATGAGGATGAGAGAGGATGGTCTGTTGGCCAGATGTCTCCCCAGCTGCCCAGACCGGCCTTTCAGAGCTCCTGGATGTGCAGTCTGTTGCAGAGATGGGGTGAGTGTGGTGCTCAGCAGCACCACCACAGGAGCCAAGTACATCGAGGATAAAAAAGCACTTATTCTATCCCAAGTAATTATAAGGGAATATAGCAGAGTTAGGCACCAAGATATTGGTAAGAGTTATGATAAGAAAGAAACTCATGAAGAGAGTGGAGAAATTTTTACGATGTGGGATCAGATTAATGACCTGTACAACGACTGTAGTAAAAACAGCACCATACAGATGCTACAACATTTGTAGAACACATTTCTCCAGGTCATAACCAAAGCCTGTAATTTATTCAGATGTTAAAAAAAAAATTTAAAAGAAAAGAAAAAAAAGAAAATTATATGTTCACTGACAAAGCCAGTTCTTGCAGACTGAAGTCTCCTTGGGCTTGGTGCAGGCAGCAGTTCCCAGTAGTATTTCTTACGTAATAGCTTGATCTCCTATTAATTTTCAGATACCATTTGTAGATAATCAGAAGTACCAGATGCTGGAGAAACAACTTCCCTGACATAACAAGGAATTATATATCTCTTGCAATTAGATCATCATAAAATGAAAGGAAAACAGGCATCAGTCTGCCATTCCCACATCCAGTAGCATTTAAACAATGAGTGCAGTCTCTGTTACTTCTGCTGGCAGCCCTCCAGCAGCACTTTCAAAAGGCAGCGTGGCCTCCCTGTAAATTGATAAACAATCTTGTAGAGCAACAGGCAAGTCTTTGTTAAGTTTTTACTTAAGTAGAGAATTAATTGGCATCTTTCTGCGCAGAACAAGCAGGGTCAACTGCTCCGTTTTCCAGAGGCAGATTATTTTAACCAGAATATGCAGTCCCTGCAGTTAATGGAATAAACCCTAGGATGTGGGTACAGAAATTGTTTGTTTTCTTAAAGAGTTCTGGGAGCAGAACGATCAAACTCAGTTGGCCAAAAAGACTAAATAACTGAGTCCTAGCTCTGTTGATGGCTTCAACACACAATCACTATCACTACAAAAGCAGATGTGTCATCCTCACACAGGATGCTGATTTCCTAGAGTAACATGTCGTCACTGGCTGTACCATTCACGACCAATCCCATCCAGAGAGGCGATGATATTCTCACCTCTACTCTGGGCCAAGGAATAGAGAATGGCCTGAAATCTTTTGTACAAGGCTGCCAGTGCCCAGTAAGATGCAGATTGTTCTCTAGGGAGTGGGTAATGTGTTTAGATACATGCATGTCACGTAATTATCTTCCTTCATCTAGTGCTCCAGCATGTCTTTGCCTGCTATAGATTACACCAGGGCAAATTCAGCTCTTACTGGCACTCATGCTCTGGTCAGCTGTGAGGACAAAGCTTGTCTCTGTGGCTGACCAGAGTATGAGTAGAAATAGCATAGATGTACTAAAGCAGAAGATGTACCCCATGTAGTCTGCAGACTGCATGTAGGCAGCTAAAGCACTGAGCAAGTGCGGTGGCACTTCAGCACATGAGCAAACACGTCACCAACACCTTGACTTCTCTTGGGACAATCTCACTATCCTAAAAGAGAGCACAATGATAAATCAGTTCATTCAAGTAAGAACATT